TTGTTTGTCATTTGCCGACTTCGAGTCTGCCGGCTAATTGTGGCTGCTTTTTGCTTTTTGCTTAATGCATTTTGATTTTGCAACTGCAAAACAGCAGAGCCAGAAGTTCGTGATCTGTGGCAATCGCTTGACATTTACAAGGCGGCGGGCTTTTGTTTTTAATTAGACGAAGTCGCATTCGGAGTAGGAGTCGAACTCTGGCTGGCTGGGTGGTCGCTCCTCCGCTCTGCTCCGTGGCTGATTATCGACGCGAGGGCTTAGATCTTTGCCGTCGATTAAGCTGCTTAATGCCATTAACATTAACGTGATTAAGAGCCAGCTCCACTGGGAGCCACTCCACTCCGCATGACGTCCCCGCATTGTGATTGCGTGGAAATTATGAGCGATCCCATTCATTCACAACTTCCAGCACAGGAGTTCCGATCGGCTAATTGAGCAATTGAACTTTGATCGTCAGGCATCGGAGTCTGTGTCTTTAATTCATAATCAAATGATGGCGAACGGAACGGAACTCCTCACTTTCCGTCCCGAAAGCGGTTAGTTTTCAACTATCCCGTTTGGCGGGCTTCGCTTAGGGGTGAGTGCTTTCGGGTCGGTCGGTGTCAAAGGTCAAAATGGACGAAAACTTCTCATGGGTCAGTTCGGGGCTTAAAAATAGATCAGGAACCAACTCGATTTCGGACAGGGAAAAACGAGTTTAACTACCAATTTCTGCTCGGTTTTTCTCCGAGCATGACCTTTGAACTTAGCCCAAAAATCCAGAACGGGCCAATATTTCCAGTCTTTGCTAGAATAATTCCGTCCGTTACAAGAATATCGCCCTGTGGGAAAGATTCTCGAATTTAGCCAGCTGCTTACCGCATTTCAAGAAAACTTTTATCAAAAGAACGCTGAGATAACACGGCGGGGCAAACAGAACGAATTTGCCCGAAACTTATTTACACTTAGCGGCAACATTTGTTTGGCATTCCGAATATCTGAGTCCCAGAGATAGTGCAAGATCTGTGGGATGCCATTCGGATTGCAGCAGACGCCCCGGCCGAATCTAATTTTATGAATGAACCAACTTAGTCGAGGGCCGAAGGAAGTGCGAGTATGCGTAATGCAGTAACAAGTCAACAAGCCAACTGAACCAACGAAACTAATGAATAGAATGACTCTCGGGGACCGCAGTTTAAACGTGGTTTATCTGGGGGTAAATATTTGCCAAGCGATAATAGTGATGGTTACATTGCATCTGGGTCGGGTCGATCTCGAGATAGTTTTCTTGGTTCCCACACCTGCAGATCTGGGGGAACCAAGAACCTCTAGTCTAGAGAGGTCTAGAGTGGGCAGGCGGAAGTCTGCAAGTCCGATAAGAGTGGTTCCGATGTGGAAACATCTGGGGCTTCGCTTTGCATATCCCACCTCCATGCCCTATGCTAATTCCAAGCGACACATCCGGCATCGCTTATGTTCCGTGATATACGATTTCTTTCAGCTCAGCCGGTTAATTACCTTCGAGTGACCACTTGGGCCGATCTGCGACAGAAACAGAAGCTCAAATGCACCGGAACCCTGACACCCAACACTTGGGCATATTCACCCTCGTTTTGCGAGAAACTAAATTGCCGAAACCCAATAATTCTCACATTCGCCGCCGACTTTGATTGCTCCTTGCGGTTTCCAATTTCCAGGAGGGATCGAACGAAAGGGTTGAGGGTAAGGGTTGTTCGGCTGCCCAATAATATTTAATAACAATTGATATAAATATTGAAAGTATTATTGAGTCATAATATGGACTCCTTCGCCCTTTGGTTAGATGTGAAATTTGAGTTGGTTGTGGCCCTTCTGATCCCATGTAATCTCAGCTGGCTTATCTTGGACGCCAGTTCGGCTCGTAAATAACATTCGAACTGCTCAATTTTCAGTGTTATTCTGTTCGGCGATAAAGGCTTATCGCGGGGAAGAAATTATAACTGGAGCAGGCCGAGGAGATAGTCCAGTTTCGAGTTTCAGATCACAGCTCGTAAAAATCGTAAATAAATCAGCAGCAGCGATAGAAAAAGGATTTTTTAAGTTTCTCTGCCAAGATTTCCCCCCAGTCCAATTAAAATAGTTTAGCTTCGCCCGCCTCTCATTTACATGTGCTTACATCCTGTATCGTTTCTCACGGAAATCTTTTAGATTTTTCCATTTTTTCTCGCTTGTTTTTTCCGTCTCCACTGCAGTGTAACAAATTCCAATGGGTCTCAGAAATGCACGTTGTGCCCCCAACTTCTGGTTAAATATTTGGAGAATCAGCCTCAGTCGTAAATTGTAATCTTCCACGGGCGAGTTGCCGTTAAAGATCCTGGCGCAGTGGATGTCACTTAAGGGTCTGTTATTGTTTTTTTAATACTTGTCCAGATGTTGCTATAAGGTTAAGAAACCGACGGAGTCGGAGTCCCATGTGTCAATGATTTCTCCCGTATTTAAATGCTGTCGCCTGTGGGTTTTTTCTCACACTATAGTTTTCGTGTAGCTAATTTGTGATTTCTGGTGTTTTCGGTGTTGGATTTGTTTTACGCTCGCCTTGGAAAACTATTTTCCGGCTATTGATTTCCATCGAGTGGATGACATAAAAGTGCTGGGATGATTTATTGACATGTTTACCGCTTCAAAAGGGGGGAAATATTACCATTGCATTTCGGATTGATCCCCGTTCTATCCTGGGAAAATGCCACCATACACCTGTTTATCCAATGAATGTCCTGGGGATATCCTGTCCAACCTGTAAGAACATCCTGTATCCCTGTTTGCCTCAGGACTTCTACCAGGAAGTCGGACTGCTCCAAAATCACGTGAATATTGTACAAAATATTATTTACTTACCGCTCTCCCACACTGAGGAAATCCTGATCGCCGGATTTCCCAAGGATATTCAACTACACGACGAAAACAAAGCGGAAAATCCGAATTTTCCACAGTAATCCCCCCTTCCCGATTCCCGTGTGTCTTAGAGCGCCTGCGCACATACCTCGGAGCAATGAGCGTAATTTGAAGACCGCGAGAAAGGCGACTTTGTTCACAGATTTCCAATTAGATTTTCCCACACAATGGAGCATAGGGGAAATTAGTCTCTTTATGCTTAATTAGGATCGTGTATTGAGTTTCCAGGAAGTGCTCCAAGCAAATTGCGGCAGCCAGTTGACAGTTGATCCCTTATCTACCTGGGCACAAGCTGCGGTTTTGCTTTGTTTGCCCTTTAATTGCACTTGCAACTGCAGCTCAACACACCCATGAAAATCTCGACCGCAGGGTCCAAAACAATCTGAGTCAAGTGTTTCTGCACGCAAACGAATAGATCCGAAGGACTTCCAATTCTACCTGCTGTCGAGGGCGCAGGCGCGGCGGTTTCGGTCTCGATTTCATTCCAGCTGCCGTTGTGTGGACACAGGACGAGGTCGGGCAAAAGGACGAGGAGTGGAAAACGGACATGGCTGGTGGACAGCACTTTTGGCACTCGTTCTGCGGTCTAGCGGACATGTGTCCAAATTTTGTGCTGTCTCACTGCAGGAGGATAGAACGCACTCGAGAGCTCGCTTGCGACAGACTTGAGGTCGATGTGCCCACACAAAAGGGTTAGAGGGGGTTAAACAATATTTAATATATTATAAACATACATTTTGCATAATATTATACTTATTTTCTTCCTGTTCCCCAAGTTAAAAATTGGGCAATATGTATATAAATTATATAATATATTATATTATATTATGCAAGAATGCTTGAATATTTTATTATTTTGTATTTATTTATTAAATATTTTAGCTGTCATTTTTGTATCGTATTTTTATTTGATTGTGGATACTTTAAGAAAAAGTAACGATTTCAAAAAAACAAGTATTTTTACATTTTAAACTTCCTTGGTTTTTTTAAATCTTAGCTCAAATTTATTTCGATTTCATGAAGCAGATTGGGGAGAAAAATATGTTAACGAGTTGCAGCATCTGCGGTTGGGGTTGAGTCTTCTGGCATGTGTCCGGATCGTCTTGATTGCCTCGTTTGCTGTTTAATCGCTGTTGACGGGCATAAATTTCGATCCATCCTTGGAGACCCCTCTCAACCACCCCACCCCTGCCACTCAGTGACACCCCTTTTCGGCTGATTTGTTTAGTAAACAAGCGGATTAGGCACCAGAGAAATTCGAGAACGCCCCAAGTTGGAAGCCAGCGAAGTGTTGCCCCGATTTGGATAAGGTGAGATACTCAAATTGGGAAGTGCCCGGAATGGTTTCATTGACAACTGTCACCGCTGCGGACGCAAAACACTCAGACTGACATTTCTATATTTGGATTCATTTCGGTGACTAAAAATTTCCCACAGTTTACCAAACAGTTTTGGGCGAGGCTACAATTAAAATTTAATTTTAAAGCCCACACTAATTATGTTCATTTTTTCCCCTGACTATAACTCCGCCTAATTTTCCTATTTGAGCAGGACTGCAGTAGTACAACCCCCTGTTTTGGTTCCTTACGTGTCCCTGCAGCGATCCTTGTTTTTGTTCCCCTGATCCTGTCGCAGGTGGCTCGTTTCAGTTTTTTCCGTTTTTAAGGGGAGCGAAGACTTGCGTGCCTTTTCCGCGACACAGAGATTTCCCCGGGCTTGGTGTACCAATTTTATAGTTTCCGGATCAAAAGATCACTTCCTGCGGGAAATATGACAGGATGCTTAGTTGACTTTGGTGGGAAAGTTTCATTGCGTTTTGAGAAAATTCCCCAAGTGTAGTCCTGTGTGGTTTTCTGTGGTTAGCTAATGATATGTTTTGTCATGTGATAGACAGAACTTGGAATTTTTACTGGGGGATTTTTGGATTTAATTGGCTTTTAAAAAAAGGAAGCAATGAAATCCAATTTTTTAACTTAAATGAATTGGGTTTTTGAATTTATAAGTATGTAACTAATGTTTTACAAATATTTAGAAACAATTTTAAATTTATTTTCTTTTTTAACCTTTCATCTGTCAAACACACTCTGAAATTTGTTGAAATATTTTTATCAAAATTACATTTTTGTACAAGATCTAAGACGATTTAAACCATTTTGATAAATTATCCTTGTATGAGGACAACCAGCCATGCATCGCTGGTTTTTTGCCACCGAGCGGGAGGAGTGTGAGCCGAAGGCGCAGGGGGAGGAACTTAGGACCACCCAGGATGCCGAGGAGCCACCGACTCCGGTCACAATTCCCACAACCGAGTGGCCCTTCTGCGTGAAATTCCACCGTCAGCTCAGCGGGAATGAATACGTGGCCATCAGTGGCAACTGCCCGTCTCTGGGCAACTGGGATCCCAAGAAGGTGTACCTCCTGGCGAAGAACGAGTGCATCGACTGCATTTGCAAGTGCTACCAGTTCGAGGCGAATCTGGAGATACCCCGTAACATCAACATCCACTATCGGTACTGTGTGGTGATCCACGATCCCAAGTCGGATGAGGTGTATATCCGCTTCTGGGAGTCGCAGCTCAAGCCGCGGGTTATCCGCACTTGCCAGAACATGCTGAAGCGGTGCGACACCTTTGGAACACCGCACGACGACGACGAGGACAACAAGGTGGATCGGGGATGGGCCACCACCGAAACGATTGTGCATTTAAAGATCTTCAATGCTCCCTTCATCTGGCAGCATCAGAAACAGAGGCTTTTGTACGTTCATGTGCAACCCATGTTCGAGGTGCCCGAAAATCCTTGCTCTGAGAAGCAAGAGCCCTTCAAAGTGGGTTCGTCAATCACGCGCCAGTCGCACTACTTGGACACTCGGGAAAGTAACCCCGACGACCTTCATCTGCGACTGGCCCAGGTCGAGGTGGTCAACCTGTGCTCCCAAAAACCGCTGGCTTTTCAGACCGAGTTTGGAGTGCGTTGCGGTCCGGAGGACATGCAGTTGTTCCACTGTTCCATTGCCTTTCCGGCGGACACGCTCTACCGCTTGGATCTCTACACCTACGCCCATAAGGCGGCCCCGGATGAGCCAGCCTATCACTACGGCTATGGATTCCTGATGCCCTCGCAACTGCTGGACACCGAGGGCTGTGCCCGGGTGAAGATCACCTGCGCCTCCACCCACCGCCCGCTGATGGAAATGTGTGTGCGCTACCTTCTGATTCGACCTCTGCCCGATTTCCACTGCGATCTAAGTCGCAGCTACGAGCGCTACTGGCGGAAGAGTCGCCTGTGCATGAACATAGGCCACAAGGGATCGGGAAGTACCTATCGAATAGGCGGGGATTTGGTAAGGGAGAACACCCTGTACGGGTTCAAGCAGGCTGCTTTGGCCAACGCGGACATGGTGGAGATGGATGTCCAGCTCACGCAGGATGCCCAGGTGGTGGTGTACCATGACTTTGTGCTGCGATTTCTGCTGCAGCGAATGCCCTGCTACGAGGATCTGCTGGCCAATGTGGATCTGCTGATATTCGCCTATGAGAAACTGAATAAACTGATGCTTCTGGCGATGGGTGGGACCAAGCGAAAGGATCTGATAGCCGTTCCCCTGGAGGCATTCACCTATGAGCAGCTGAAGGAGGTGAAGGTTCTCCGCTTTGCTGGCAGCAAGGGCTGCGAGATGTCCTGCGATAGGATGCTGCAGGAGCAGAGACCATTTCCCCTGCTGTTTGACCTTCTCAGCGAGGAGAACCTTCCCGTTGGCATGGGCTTCCTCATCGAGATCAAATGGCCCCAGCTGACCAACTTGCGGCGCTGGGAGAGCGGCAGCTTCAAGCCCACCTTCGATCGCAACTTCTATGTGGACACCATCCTGGAGTTGGTCCTCAAGAATGCCGGCAAACGGCGCATTGTCTTCTGCAGCTTCGATGCGGATATTTGTGTGATGGTGCGGTACAAGCAGAATCTTTACCCGGTGACCCTGCTCGTAGAGGATCCGAGTGCCCCTGTTCAGTACGCAGACCAGAGGGTGAGTGTGCTGGAGAAGGCCGTGGAGTTCTGCCACTCCCTGGAGTTCCTGGGTCTAACCCTGCACGCCAATTCCCTCCTGAACAAACCCTCCACGATGGCCTTTCTGCATCAGTTCGATCTGGAGGCCTTCACCTATGGCGAGAGCACCACCAGCCTGGAGATTCGCAACCGACTGAGGCGGCACGGTGTGCTGGGCGTCGTCTACGATCGACTGGACCAACTGGACCAGGTGGGCGAGGAGCTGGAGGGCGATGTCGTCTGCACCATTGACTCGCTGACCACGAGGCGCGTGATTCGGGAAACGGAGGTGGAGGAGTGGCGCCAGAAGTGCGGCTACAAGCCGGAAAGCGCCTTCGTAGAGCGAAACATTTACATCGATTGAAGGTCTTACCCCGCTGACTAATAAAGTAGCGCAAGTTATGTGCCCTGCGATAACAGCCAGCAAATCCCCTGTCCCCAGTAATCACCAGCCAACGTCCAAGGCGGACCATAAAGACAAACGGGGCATTACACGACTAAGCCGAGAATATCCCACCAGACCAAAGTCAAAGTTACGACAATTGTCAACAGAAGGACTAAAAAAAGATAACCCCTTCGCACACCCCCCGCGAATTGGCAAACTTTTTTCGCAAACACTCGCGCTGCGGATGATAAGCTCATGTGAACTATTGCCGGGTAGATAAACAAAGGATCCGGAAGCTGGCGAAGGAAGCAGAAGGGGTTAAGACGGTCCAGAGTCCTGGATCCTGAGTCCAAAGTCCCGTTGGGCGGTCAAACGACACGGCATCGTAAATGATATCCCGTGGCGAATGGGTTTCCTTTATAGACCAGTGCACACTTTAGCAGCACCCAACCCCTTTTGATATTAATATCCCTTTGCATATCACTCACACCGAAGACGAAGACGTTCTCCTCTCAGTGGGATGTGGGTTTCGCTGGGTTTGCCGTTGTGCAACTTATAACCCCCCCTTCCATTCTGCTATTTATCATAATTTTTCAATTTAACACTGTCATACACTCGGGACGCACACACACACATCCCGAGAGGAAGACAACACCGTCGTATCCTGGCGTATAGTTTCCAATGTTTACTTGCGCAAACATCCTTTGACGAACTTTGCCCATTGTCCAGACTTCGCTTTGACGATGGCTTAGCCGTACCTTTGCTTTTTGCATTCTCATCGATACCATCTTTCCCCATAGCCGGCCATGTGTGTGTTTGTCCTCGCTTCCTTCCGATCCTGTGGCCATCGTCCGTTAAGGATGACGTTATTAATGAGCATTTTGACACTTACGTCTTGACATTTGCACAGCTGGCCGTTTGTCTAAGGACTTTTGGCCATTTCGGCGAGTGGAAAAGGTCAACCATCCGCTTTCTTTTCGTCTATCCAATCTGTAAGAGTCTGCAATTTAAATAAATTTGTGATTATGTTTGCCTAAGGTAGGGATTCGGTTGAAATCGCTGCTAAATGTAATTCGAAAATGAAAAGGTATTTTTATGATAGCATAGGACTGTAAATATTTGACTTTATTTTACATAGGACAATTAATTTATTGCAAACGAGGGGCTGTCAAAATTATTCCTATATATACTATTTTTAGAACAAATTTTATACCTACTAATTTATTTATATCTTTATTTAAAATTTGAAAATTAAGATTTATCAAAAATTGAAATATTTTTCATTTAAGCTGTAAACTGTTTTATAATTTAGCAGACACTATTGACTTCTTGACTCATACTACAAAAAGCTATGCATCTCTAAAAAACAGTTAAATAAAATCATAAATCCAAAAATATTAAAACAAACTTTTATAGCTGAGGAATCCCTATGGACATTGTCCGGTTTGAAGCACACGGCAGCTGTCTTCGGGGCGATCGGATGACCACCCCACCCCATCCCACCTCTTCCAACCCATTGCATTCCCTCAGACTGGTCTTTGTCTGGGATTGTTTGCCTTCAATTTGACTACAAACCATAATTTATCTTTTCAGACGTGTTGGTCAGCGCGACAATGGCGGGCCAGCGACATGGATTATTGATTATGCAAAGTGCCCGGTGCCCAGGACAATGCCGAGAAAAACAAAGGCTTAAGCAAAGAGAAGAAACGATTCCAAGGAGGTCTCAAGCTGGGCGAAGGGGTTGCTGTTTCAGAAACTGGACAGCGGTCAGTGGAAGTTCGGAAATGTCCGTGCCGGAATCTCTGATGAGCCGGGAAAGTATCCCCTTTCAGGATACACAACGCGTGTGTTTTCGCCCATTAGAGAGATAATAGTTTTCTCGGCTGCTCAACCTTTTCTGTGTTAATGGTCAGTTTCGCTATTTTGGCATGGTTAATTAATATCCAGCTCCGACTGAGTGTGAGAAAGTTGGAGGCAAAGAGGCAAAGGTGAGACTGGGCGAGGTGAGAGGCCCAAGCTGTTGACGGATGCTGATGGATTAGGGAAATAATTAATGATGTATCCGATTCAACGGTAACTGTATCTGGTTTTTGACCATCTAATCGATGGCTTTTAAGGGACAGGACCTTTAAACTGAACTAGTTTGGTTGAGGATTACAAACTCTAAAACTAGAAAAAATATAAATATTTCAATTAAATACTTTCATCTCGCAAATAAATCTTGAAAGAAAACAAATTAAGTCGGGGAACTCTTCGCATGGTTTTTTCCCATATACGAAACAAAGAACTGTTTTCAGCAAAGAAATACATATCAATTCCAGTAAATTGAGGGGAAGAATCTTCTGCTTTTATTTTCGCTCTACAAGCTGTTTTCTTCTTGATGTTTCCACTCAAAGACTCAGTGTCGTTGCAGACAGTTGTTGATAAGAAGCATTTTGTTTCTACGAGTGCCTGATAAGCGCCATTTAAGAGAGCTTCTGAGTCTGAGGTCAATTGACCTGCTTTTAAGCAGAGACTTGTGCACGTCCGTTCATCAGAAAGCGCTTTCTAGATTGTCATCCCCCACCCTCTGCCAACCCAAAAAACAAACTGGCTAATCTACGAGTAGAGTGTCCGCCGTTTGCCGGACTGTCAATTTTCAAACCGAAAATGTAAACAAACCGAGCATAGAAAAAATATTAAAAAACTTCCACACGCTTTTAATGAACAAATAAGTAGCTCTAAATATCAGTATGTGTGATGTACAGATGTCGCGTCTTATCAGTCCGCTGAGGATCCAAAGTGATGGCCACATCAGGCGAGAGCTCTGAGATTAATTCAGTTTCTCTACACTGAACACTGAACTTTTGTCCTGCGACAGCAGCCGCATTCCCTGATCTTTGGCGACATCAATTTTTAGGGTGAACAATTTCAATTAGGTTCACGTTGAACCGCGATTGAGATTACTGCAAGTACATAGTTTCTGATAATGCAATTGTTGTGTGTATTTGCGTATTCCGCACTGCTGGAGATGGAAGTGCTGAAAATGGAATATGGAAAACGGTTAGTTGAATCCCACGCTCCTCGAATCGCAAGACAAAGGCTGTTTATTGGCGGTGGGACAATAGGTGGATACTCATGCGGTCTGTCGCAGCCATTAGAAGCACATTAGGGTGCCCACTCACAGGAGCAGCGACACATGCAAGCTGCAGTTGAACGGGCCCAAGACACAGATACACGTTCTTCAAGATACGACTACTTAGGATCCAAACAAAGGCGCCTTTTGTTGGCTCGACTGGATGGCTGGATGGTTGGATGGATGGATGGGTTCAGGGTCCCTCTTCCCCCGCTCCTCTTGGCCAACCGCAAATGACGCAAAATCGTCGCCGAGCAGAGGGTTTACCCACGCACACTCAAACTGAAATCTCTTGACAAGATAACAAGATGCAACTGTGAGATACGAATGGCCACAAAAATACCGTTTAATGAGGCGCTCGCTCGCACACAGCTTGACTATTTCTTAGATCTCCTATCCGTAGGGAGTCACTCAAAGGATATTGGCTGCCGGCTGCCTATTCTCATTGAAATCCATTCTATTCTTCCTGCCTTTTTCGGGTTTCCGAGGTTTCCGAGGCCCATAACTCTTGGTACTTTATGCACTCGGCTTTGTTTGATTTGACCACAAAGTGTGGATGACCAAGTCGCTATTCCCGATAATCGATTGAATTACCCGCTGCCTAACTGCTTCCTTCCGCAATTCATGTCAGGCCCTAAAACCCTGGGGTTTAGGGCCCCAAATGTGCAGCGTCAACTGTCTAAAAAGGATTTAGTGGCACTGCATTCGTATGGGAAACTAGTGATTGGCCAGGGTATGAATTGATGTCGTCAGCTTTTCACATATTCCGCTGAAAGCCCTGAAAGGATAATTGAAACGAGCACTTGAGACTCTTTTTCTACGAGAGCGCCTCTCCCCGCACATGAATATGTAATTTCGTCCAGATTTGAATAGAAGGATGTGTATGTGGAATGAGGCAGAAAGCCTCAAGTGGCCATTTAAGAGCTCGTTCTGGGGTGTGGGTGCAATGTGAAAAGAATCAAAATTAAGTGGAAAGTTTCCCAGCTCATCAGTGACTTGTGTCAAAGCCTTTGACGACGACGACGAAGAGCCTAATTCAAATGCGGCATAAACCTTTTGCGCCATGACAACATATTAAATGCGACTTAAGCCGTAAACAATGCGGTTTTAAGGCCATTTTGCCCACGCTGAAAAGTTTAAGCGATTAGCGCAATTTAGCGAAAATAACATGCGAAATTGCGCGCATGAACGCCTTTTCAATGGCACTCAAAGACTCAGACACTCAGCCACAAAACAGGGAAAATCACAGATAGTGCCAAAAGGGGAATCCCGCTGAGCCGCTCTTTGGGCGCACTTAATGTGGGAAAATCGTCGTCACTTGTCAGTGCACGCCCACCTCGAACAACCCTCGTTTCCCACACTCACAAAATAAAAGTGTTAAAACACAATGAACCCAGACACACAATCACAATTGTTGCGGATCTGGATGAGATCCTCTCATCGCCAGAAAGCGGATTGTGCATGCTAATCGTCAGATGCGTAAAACTCAATGAACATTCAAGTGCCCAGGGTTCTGACAAAGGCCCAAAAGGAGCTAAAGAGCTAAGGAAGCTACTAAAAAACAAACATACACTGAGATACTGGGATACCCAGATCGCGAACTCATAATCCTTTCAATGCGCCACTTAAGCCGATCATAAGGAAACCCTTGCCTTGAATTCAGGATGCGACCTTTGAAACCTTTGGAACGTGCAGCCTCCGCAGAACCTCCTTTGTGGACCATTTAGTGAGTGCGGTTCGTCGGGTGTTTGGCCCATTTGTGACGGGGTTTGCCATTCGCAATCGCAGCTCACTACGGAGAACTCGACAAATTAGGCCACTCAGCTTCCACTGGCCTTTGTTCGCCTTTTATCCTTTTTTCGGATGCTTTGTTTGCCCTTCCTTTCGTTTCCTTCTTAATGCCGGAGATCAAAATGTTTGCGTCGAAGGGTTGATCTTGTTGATCTCGTTTCTCCTTTTTTTATGGCCAGGATCCTTTTGCCTCCGATATGATTTATTTATTTGTATATCTGCAAGCAGGGCTATCTTGATCTGGGACAGTCGAATGCTGTTTGAGGACTGCCCTTTATTTGGCTTGACTTTTGCACTCTCATCATTGGGCTGCTGCACGTGCCGAAGGATTGGAAGGAACAGGAGTACAGGTAAAGGTAAAACTCCAGTAAGATGATTAGATTCACTACGTTAGATTAATCTATAAGCAACCTTTTAATATAAACCAAAGAAAACATTTTCCTATTTTCGATTTGGTTGTATTCTCCAAATAACAACCTTTTGTTGTCTAAACTAATTAATTTAATAATTTATATGTATTTATCAGTATTGATATTGCTCATCAAACTATTTTTGGCACATTTCAAACAATATTTATTCATCGCTCTGAAAGCTTGCTAATCTAAAACCAAATTTCAGCTTTCGCTGCTACGCAAATTGTCCATTAGGCTAATTACGCAAACATTTGTGAATTTACTTATCCAAAAGATTGAAAGACAAACCTCTCGGTGAACTCGAAAATCTGTTGATTGATGGGCGCTTTGTTCGTGTTTGTCAGTTGCTCCGGAGCAGCCAGAATAGACTCGGATTACACCTGGACTTCTGGGCCTCTGGACCGAAGACTGCGTACAGAGCAAACAGATTATTTTCATAAATTAGACTTTATTAATGACTAAGGAGACAGCTTTCGAGACGCTACAGCCCAGGACAGTTGAAGGACAACGGGTGCGACTGGCGAACGGGGTTGGGCTGGGATATCCTTTAAGGATGCGGTCGCTGGGCCTCGAAAACTGGACACTGGTCAGCGCATTGGTCAGTCACGCACGTAATTTTGGCATTACCCCTTCGGGACGGCCACTCGCAACGGGATAGGCAGAGTTCAGAGGTCACCACCGTACTTTTGCCCGTTTCTTCTCACAGTCCGAGCAGCAGGAAACTTAAGACGTTTTCACGATGAATTTTAATGATTTTTGTATTCAAATGCGGATTGCTCCAACCAGTTTGGCCACTTCCTCCCAGCACCAGCACCCAAGGGAGTGTCCGCCGAGTGGCAGGACCTCGTATCCTGCTGACGGCAGGATTGGCCCAACGCCCATCGGTCAAGCTGTGTGCGAATCCCATCCAAAATGGCCAATGTCCCATGTTCGCTCTTCGCTTTTTATTACTACCAAACTCTTTGTTCGCTGGCCTCGACAAAGGGGTCAATTCGAAAGGGCAACAGTTGATGTTCAGGGCGCATGTGTTGCGTCCTGGAATGGGTGGCCATTTTGTAGCCAGGACCAACCGAATTAAATGTATCTAAATGAAGAAAAACGGTTTTCAGTAAAAGTTTCTTCAAAATCGTGATAGTAAAATTTCAGCAGCGAAAAAAAAATAATAATGTGGAAAACGAACTCAAAAACAAATCTCAAAAAAAAAGATTTTTCTCTTACTCTAAGACGAAGTTTAAAAATAAAGGTAATTATGATATCCGCTGTGCAAGTATTTTCTCTCCGAAGAAATAAACTCTTCGAATGAACTTTGTCCGTTGACTCGTGTGGACCATTAAAAAGTTTTTATAATTTTATTTAAACGGTATTATGCTTTGCGACAAGATCGCCATAACACATGAAGTTTTTCCCGGATTTTTTAATTGTCTTTTAACTGCTGACCCAACGCTCTTTTAATGGCCTCCACTTGACCAGGCCACCTTAGTTGGTTTGTTGACACCTGCAGCTCAATTTTGTGGATCTGGATCATAAGAAAAATCTAAGGCTGCCACTTTTTGCTGGATAGTTTTAATCTTTGAACTAGACCGACTTTAACTCACTCTCTAGAACTATTTACAGGTAACGCACTTCCGGAAGAAGAATCCGAGCTCGTTAAAATCCCCAATTTAATGAAGATAAATCGTAGTTGGTTTTCATTAGCCAAAGCCAAGAAACGATCTCGGTGGAAACTGTTTGGGTTTGAAATTTCACCTTTTGACATCGGTGCGGGATGTACTGGATGTGCTTCCCAGTGAACGGTGACATTTAAATTAATAAACTGCCAGCGAGTTTGGGCCGTAACAGGCGCGTAACTGCAGTCAATTATTCGGCCGAAAATATCCTGTTTCCAGCATCCAGTTTCCACATCGGCAGCAGCATCGGCATCATCATCATTATTATTAACACTTTCCACGGCTGCGGACTCGCCACTTGAACTTCACTCGGCTGCGGCTCGGGTTGTTCCTCTTATTGTGTTTTCGGTAATGCTATATAATTACACCATCAAGTTGACTGATGACACGGAATGAATCTTTGTCGCTCCCTTACACAACATAACACTCGCACACCCAGTATTTGCATAAAATCATAATTTTTCTTCGCACCAACCCGAGGGAAACGGAAACCCTTGCCCGGTTTAGGGATATCGACACTCGACTTTCCCTTAAATGTCAGCGAATCGAAGAAAAGAGTTGGATTGTAGATACAAGAAACAGTAGTTCCGAATTTAATATGCAACATTAAGGTAATAATTTATTTATTTATCTATCACTTAACAATGATTTAGTCTTAAACCTCAGGAACTCTACGATTCTTCTATTAATCATTTTTTTTATTTATTAAATTTATATTTGCTTAAATTTAAAAAATCCATTGCATAATGCCATTGACTTCCATTTAATGGGTTTAGAGTTATTCCTTTATTCTCGGCTTACGGTGGCATTCCAATTGATCTGGGCTCCAATGAATGGCATGAGCTAATCCCTGCCATATGCGTTCCTTCTTAGCCCCGATCCGTCATAGGGCACAATCGTAGGTGTCAAAATTTTTGACACTTCAATTTCTTGTGCTCGCTGAAAAACACGAGACAAATGAGCAGCGCGTGTGTTTCCTCATTGCGTTACATGCGAATATCCTGGCAGCAGGATATACGTACGAGTATATCTGTGCTGTAGATTGGTTTGCGTAGGTGCAGCCGTCGTCTGTCAAATGCGTCTTGTCATGCATCAAAAAAAAGAACAGGAGAAATGAAAGGAAGTTGAAAGCCAGAAAGAAACGAAGTCAAAGCAAACAGAGTGAAATGGCAGCGGGGAAAATTAAATTGAAAATTTCAACGGAATCAGAGGTAGGTGGTGGGGGAGTGGCAGGGGAAGGCGGAGGTAGATGACTGCCACCAGGTTGCCACAGTTGACTCTTTTGATAAACAAACAAACAGCAGACAGAAGCATTGCGAAAATGTTGATTACAGACAGCGAAGGAAAACCAGCCACCAAAACAGTAGCAATAGCACACTGACAAAAACAATTCCTGGAATCCTTAATATTATTCCTTTTAAATAAATTTATTCTATTATTTATTTAATTAAAATTAAATAACGTTTTTATTTTGCATCATATTTTTACTACCTTAAAATATTTACAGAAAATGTGGAGGGACAAATTAAAGCTTCGTTTATTTTAATCATGTTTTCTTATACTTGGAGTGTATATTTCATTAAATATTTCTGATCTTTAAATTTATTATTTATTTCGACGATTATATCATAAAGCTGACTTAGGAACGTTAGGAAAATTAAAAAAAGTAAGAGGAAAATTAAAATATATTTTTAAAAATAAATAATTAAAAATTATTAAATATTATAAAAAATTGTAGGAAATATTAATCTACTTATTTTTCCATCATATATGGCTTATTTCTAGTAGTAGTTTATTTCTAAGTGCAGCTACAACAACGGTACAGTGGGACATATGAGACCGCTGCTTCCGCCTTTGAGTCGCAGCCGCCAAAGGACATGCGCCAAAAAATTCAGAAAAAAAGAAGATAAAAAACGAAATGAAAGTCGCTGAGGAAATGAGAGAAGCGGGAAAAAAATGAAATAAAAATCCATTCGCGACTCGCAACTTTCATGTGTATCCATGTCAGCTTGGCTTTTGTGCTATTTGGAACGAGTTGTCAAATAAAAGCGGCAGCCGGCGGGAAAGGAGGAGCTGGATCGTTGACTTGGCTGGCTGCCATCAAAATGGCGTCTGGCCCGGCGAGGACTTTAAAAAGCTAGTCGGAAATCGATGTGGAAAAGTCAGCTGCGGCCCGGGTGCTTTGCCTTTTTGCCTCACCTGTCGCAGGACAAACACAAATTTTAATCAAAATAAGGAGAAAAACTGGAAAAAAAGGAGAGCAAAGTAGAGGAAAAACTACAAATCACATTTCCTGTGGCAACATCAACTTCCTGTTGTGGCATGGAAATCTCCTAGTCAGCGTTTCACACGCCGTCTGACAACTGCAGCCGCTTTGATGTTGCATGCAGCGCATTTTCCGCTGTGTGTCACTTAATTGTCAGTCAGTCAACAAGAGTCCGTCAACTTGGTCAGTCATGCACTCAATCAGTGGCAGGACACTGCTAGGACCAAGGTCCACCCCCTCGATGAAGTGCAGTTTTTAGTTCCCCCTAACCACCCCACCCAGGAAGTCGGACTTCCTAAGCGGAACTGGCCGCATTATCCTTCCATGGGAATGCCAGGACTGGCGGGGTGGCAACTGCAGCCAAAGGACCAAAGTTTGCAGTCAGCGGTTCTTTGTGGTTTATGCTGGCAGCTCCTAATTGATGCAGTTAGTTGCGTGCTGTGACTGGAACCCTTTAATTGATACTTCGGTTGGGAATAGATTGGTACAGCAGTGATAACAACTTTGTGTGGAGTGTAGTTTAGTGGGAACTAGTTAAATGCAGTTTATGCTGGTTAGGGAGAAAGAGTTTTATAAAACCATATTTCAGGATTTATTACTCGAAGTTGTAAAAGCAGAGTCAGAATATTTGGATCGCAGATTGTAAGGACTAGAAAATATAAAGCAATGTTCCTTAAGCTAAAAGCTATATAGTTGTACTAATAGTTTGTATGAATTGGGATCAATCAATTTGAACACCCACATCATTATTCGCACTCGGAGGCCTAGTAATCCATCTGTTTTATATGCTTCTTCGGACACCCTCGTTATTTGTTAATCATTGTTAATGCCCCAAAACCAAACCGCACCTGCTGCCACACCACTCTGCGGCCCCAGCCCCACCACAGAGAATCGCTGAGCGATGCTTAGCCGGAATAAATCTACCATAAAGATGCTTGACATTATTCAAAATACCAAAACTACAGAATTCCCGAAATGCCTGCCCGCAGGAGGAGGAATAAAGCTGGAGCGAGCAGTTGGACAGGGCGATAATACGACGACGATGGGCAAAAAAGGCAATAAAATTTAATGCCAGACGAGGGAGCCGCGAGATCGAGTGGAGCGTGGAGGCACAAACGACTTCATTTTATCTTAATGCGCTAATAAATTTCCCAAAGACGAAATCTCTGCCAAAAACCAAATAAATTTACTAATACGCCACGAAGAGTGGGGCCCGGGCGCATGTCTCCGAAAAATGAAATGGAGCGCCAAGTAGTTGACTGAGTGGCATGCGTGGAATCGAAGAAATGCAATTAAGGCAGCCAAATCATCTAGAGCCGAAGGGCCTCCCTGATGTCTTAAGTGTTTAAGTAGCTAAACGCCTGACAACCGGAGAAGTTATGGCCCGGCCTGCAGTTTGAAGTTGGCGCGTGCTTCGCGGACCGACTGCGCCCACATCTTCGAAAGTATTCTGTCAACACAGCGGATAGGGATAGATCCTCCGCCGATCTCCACTTGAGTCTGGTGCTGACAATCCCAATTTCAGTTCCGATTCCACCCCGCAAAGGAGGTTCTCTGCTCTATCACCTCCCCGAATGAATTGTTCAAGTGAAATTGCCCTAAAAGGGTTCATGCCTCGAGCTCGTAAATTTGATAGTGCTCAAGTGGGAGGATCTGGCACCTGAGTTGGTTATTTCGGGGTAGGGAAAATTCATTTCGAATGGTTTTTCAAATTACCAAACTTGATATCTCAAGTTTTATGATCGGTTTGATGGAAATTCGTAATTAATATGACATTTATGGCTCAAACAGCTGGTGATATACTTACAAGATGCAGCCAAAAACTTTCAAATTGAATTTCGAGATTATAGTGAAATTTCTTTCTTTAGGACTGTACTGAAAAGTAAAGGTCAGTATTGTGCTATTTTTCATACTGCGCTGTACGCGCCCTTTCAGACGGTTACCACCCCTAAAAATTGTCGCCCAAGAGTCCCAACCTTCTACGTACGATATATGCAATCTCATATGCATTATTTTGCATGTCTGGCGAGTTAAGGAACTCAAGCGTAAAGGTCAAAAGATCAACGGTTTTGGGGAAGGGGCGAAGGAAGAAGGGAAGGGAGGGAAGTTTTTCTAAAGAAATTCCCTACTTTTCCTGTGTTAATGCTCTGATTTCGTTTTTGAAAAATGTTTGCAGCATTTGCATTTGTCCATTGTCCAGTTCGCTGATTAGGCGTGAAGTCTGGGATTTGAATAAGAGTTTTACATTGGGTGAATGTAACAGAATGCAGTTACTTGCTTTTGGCGGGAAAAAATAGAGCGAAGGTAAATTTAGGAAAATAAAATGGTCAGAGATTCTTAAGTAAATTCAATTTTTATATAAAGTCTGTACAACAAGTTTGAATAAAAAATCCTTTTACAAACACTACTAAAACGATTTAATAATTGAATATGAAATTATTTGATGCTAAGTATTTGGTTTGTAATAAAAAATGTACGTAATAAAATGTTTAAAAAAAATTAGTCTTCTAATATTTATTAAAATTTATAATTGAAAGTTTTGAAGTACTTAAATCCTAAAGGGCCGAAATCCAGGTTCCAGAAGAATCTCTCTTAAAAGTCTTCCAATGAACGAGGTCAACATCTCCTAATTAAGGTCACTTTCATTCCAGCTCCCTAGACCATCCATTTTTTCCCGAACAAACAGCCTTACAACACGTTCCGCCTTATTATGACCATGCGAACAAAGAATAATAAAAAACAGAGCAAATTTTACCACCCCAGCGGGACGGTCGAGAAAAAAATAACACTTAAAAAATTTGCAAACATGTTTTGCATACAGCAAAACCGATCATCAAATATTCACATGCAATCAACGGAAATCTTAGGTAAATTTTCACCCAGAACAACGCACCCAAGACAAAGCCGAGAAAATGTCCAGAATGCAACCACCGATCTCGGGACTTGGGAGATATCCAGCTGCTTGGGAGACCCACATCACGATCACGATTGGGACAGATCTTTTGTGCAAACTGGAGCGAACAAATGCGAGTGCGAAAATCTACCCCATAATCCCAGGGAAAACCCGAAATTGAACTTGGCCGGACAAAGGAAAAGTGGAAGGAAGGTAGTGGGGGGAAATTCAAATGTTTATTTGCGTATCGAAATGTGCAAATTTTTCCCATTTTCTGTACCTCGAATATTCATAAATCTCTTGGTGAATTTAAATTCTCGCCATTGTCCGGCGGAAGTGGCTGAGAAGGCTTTCGGTTCAATATCCAACTGACTTTCGCTGACATCACCTGTCCCAAAAAGTCCAACACGATAATTGGTGTCATAAAAGTTAGTTAAATCATATTGGACGTCAGTCAAATCGGTGACATTCCCAAATTAGAAGGAGCCGCAAACAAAAGTCGTGGGGCGGCGACTTCATTGCGTGGTGATTGCCACGACCATTGTTTTGATGACACGCCAAATGGTTTCTGTTTCGGGGACCATTCCACCTGTCAGCCAAATGGACAGCGAACTGAACACACAATTATCGGCCAAATGACGGGGGTGTGTCAGGTGGCGCTCGCCATTTGGCCAGCTATGTGTTCCAAATACTTTCCGGTGCTTTCCAGTAATAATCACAAGTTTACAGCTCTTCGTGGGGGACTGACAGCGTTATGTCATTTGATGTGGCTTTCCGATTGCGGCAATTATATGTAAATTAATTAGGGGGCAACGAAAGAGATACCCAACCCTAAACTGCAACTCACTTTTGGCTTTTGGCAAACTAGTTTTGGCATGCAAATTGACAACTCTCCCGACAACTCCAGATACCATGTGGCAAAGCAAAGCCTTTTTCGTAAGTGGCGGAGACAACTCAATGGGCTCTGTAAATGTTATGCTCGATTGAGGATCCCCAACAGAAGACATTGTAAGTGAGTTAACATGAAATGGCAGATTCGACTTCGGCTGCAGATTCGGTCTGAGATGGAAATGGAGATGGAGATGAAGATGCAGTTGCAGATACAGTTGCAAATGTGCAGCTGCCAGCGATCGAAGTGGCGCGATCATGTGCAAAATGCCTCTTTTCGTGTTCTTCTTCGCCTTTTTTTTGTGGTGGCCTCATGGGAGCACTTGACACGAAGAAATAATTCCATTGAGTTGGCAACTATGCCGGGAATCTCGAGCGAGACAAAATTAGACAAGAAGCGTGATTTACGGAACCCTTAAATCACACGACAACAACACTCAGATCGGCACAGATCGAGCGAGAATCGAAGAGCAAATGCGATGACAATGTCTGGGCAGCACATGTGCAAGTGGATCTGGATCTGGGGAATGGGATGCCGAATCTGAATCAGATTGGAACTGGGAGGCGGACAATGACAATGATACTGATACCGAACCGATCGATCGACGCTTCCCCTTGGCAGCCCAACTGATTTATGGCAATGCAAACGGGAGACAGATCAGACTGTCTGAACAGTTCGAGTTCAAAGCAAATCAGACAGTCTGCAGAGCTTTATGCCCTGGTAATTTTATATGCTTGTGCTGGGCACTTATCATCGATCACCGATCACTGATCACTGATCGTGTGACCACACTGGGGTATTTCCAGTCAATAAAAAAAACCGACTTGTTGTTGTTTACCTACTTAAGATATTAAGAATCGAGATGATTCTATCAGCCTACCAGCCTCCACACCTCCCGGCTTCCGCATCGCTGTGGTTTTGCCCAAAAAAACAATATTTGTTTACAAGCGGCTGAATTACGAACTCTTCACACCTCTTATTTTGCCCAAAAACTAGTTTCTTAGATGACTAGTAAAAATAAGAATTAAATTCGGCATCACATTGTGCTAGATTCAAGCTTTATTAGCCTTTAGAATTTAAAATGCATTGAAATATTACTTTCAAATGAAAGGAATCCCCTTTCGGGAACTTGTAAACATTTTAAACAAATATTTGGGAATGTAAATTTGCATTAATTAGATTTAAGCAGACCTGCACGAGATGTCGGCGGGAACCGGTTTCTAGATTTATTTATTTCGTCATCGAATTTGGGAATATTTTATGTGAAATGCACAAAAGAAAACCGCAAAAGTTGGTGGGGATTCTTAGGCTGATATTTGTATTTAGTCACCTGGGTAGAACAGGTTCCCCATTTGGGCATCGCATTTTGTTTAGATTGTTCTTGAATCTCATTAATATCGAGACGATAAATGCTCGATTCTGCGTCCCAAGTCGAGTATAAAAGCTCTCCTCAGGTGCCGGCCTTAATCAGTTAAACCCGAAATTTCATTGTCATTGGAAGTTCTCGTATCGAAAGTGAAAATGCGTTGCGCGATTTTGTTTGGCCTGGTTGCCTGCCTGGCTTTTAGCCTGATTGTGGCCCTCGAGGAGCCGGAGTCCGTCAATCAATCCAACGATCTGTCGTCCGTGGAAAGGGATATTGGCCAGGCTGTGGAGTCCGAGGTGCGAGCCAAACGTCAGTTTGGCTTTGGTGGTCCCTTTGGCGGTGGATTCGGTGGACCATTTGGCGGATTTGGTGGATATCCATATGGCGGATTCGGCAGACCCTTCGGATACGGTGGTTATGGTGGCTATGGCGGCTACGGAGGCGGATTTGGCTACAGACGTCACTTTGGCTATGGAGGCTTTGGTCCTTTCTATGGTTAAACCTACGACTACATTTTTTCCAACAATAAACGAAGACTGAAGTATTAGATTGTGTGTGTATTTTTCCTTGCTCTAGGGATCCGCAGAGTCCCAAATTATCTCGCAACTTGACCTCATTCATACGAATGTGTGTGACCCAAAGCGACGACGTGATCGAAACCGGCAACCTGGCGGCTGGGGAATATTTTAAAAATAAATAACCGAAAATCTCCATTTATTTATTAGTTCGTCGGCGGGGTCTTGCTCCTGAGCCATGCTAATTATAAGTCCAGGAGGGTGTGTTTGTTTATGTTCCACGGGCTGTCACGATCTGTTTGCCTTCTTTTCGGGCACTTTGCAGCTCCTCCTCCAGATTACGCGGCTTGTGTGGGAGTTTGTCGTTTGCCTTGCAGCAATTATCACGTACGATTGTCATAATTATCATTTGGATTTTATTAGCTGGACCTCTGGGCCAATCTCTGTCTGTCTGGATGGCTCTTTGTTCTGCTGCTGCTTCTGCAGAAGCAACTGTGAGTTGTGCAAAGGAATAAAGCATACTGTAAATATTTGAGGGAGTTGGCAGAAATATGCTGACGCTTTTTTGGTGACTTTCTGCAATCATTAATCAAGTTAACAATTAGGCATTTAGCCAGTCGGCTAATCAAATTTGCGGCATATGCGCTAAATATCCCATGGAGTTTTATTGGCTCACCGCAATGATGTACTAATCCCCTTCTAATCAACATGAAAGCCACGGAAATTATCCTCAGTTTGCCTGTGCATATTAATTTGCGACCAAAACCACCAATAGATTCTTATCGAGGGTTCGAGGGGTTCGCGCAAACAAAACGCCCAGCTCGCTGACTTACCCCAAAACATAGAATGCCCTTTATTGAGGAGTGGTAAAGTGGAATGGAGTGGGTCAGGGTGGTGCTGTCATTGTTTAATTGTCAATAGACATCGGCTTCTATCAATATCATAAAAGCTAATAACTCTCGGTTGGCTGGACGAGCCGACAACTGACAACAAACCTGGGCAAGCCAACAACCCCTCTCTAATCCCACCGGATATGCTCAATCAAAGCTCAAAGTGGGCGGAGGAGGTGGCTTGGCCTGGGAGGTGTGAGGTGGGCAACCTCAACCTGTCTGTTGGGGGTTGCTCGCTAGCTGGAAATCATCGCATTTCATTCATCACTTTTCGCCTTTTCAACGCGACCAACCAACCCTCCACGGAACCGAATCCGAATACGAGCAGGACTTGGACATGCTTCCCGTTCTCCTTTTTTGGTTTGGCTGGCTTGTTTTGATATTAAAATTGCGTAATTATAATTAACCACATGTGTGTGTGTGTGTGTGACGGGGGAAGCGGTTTAGCATGTCCTTTGACTGCTTCCGCTCGTCGGTTAAAGTTACTTCCTCCCGTTAGTGTCACGTGTGTAACTCGGTAAGCGATCTGAGGGAAGTCGCCCACCCCCAACCCCAGGGGCATAATCCATAACTTAGCCGACTGTCAGGCAATTGATACAACTTCCAAGCCGAGTCACCTCGTAATTAAAAAAAGGGAATATTTTCATTTTAATTAGAACAGCACACCTTTTGGGGTTGGGGTATCAAAGGACCGAGATTGGGGATATCAAATAAGGTTGGAAGAATTAAACATGATTAAATATTAAATATTAAGCATGGAAAATTATCTTAGCTATAAAATCATGGAAAATTATTCATATTAAATATTATAAATATTAGAGGTATTTATTAGTTATTATTTGAGGTCATTTTAATTTAACATGTTACCCAATTAGTCATAGTATTTTGCTTGTACTTCATTTGAATCTCATTATTCCATGAACCAAGTATAAAAGCCCTTTCGAAAATTCGCCGTGTATCAGTTAAAGCAAAAGTTCAAAGTATCGTATTTCGAATCGGAACAAAAATGCGTTTTGTGGTTCTATTTGGTCTTAATATCCTTTCTTGCTCTCAGCCTGGTTTTGGCCAGCGGAGAGTCTAGGAATAATTTACATACCATGAAGAGCAATATCCGCACCACTGTGAAGCCTCAAGTGCGACCTAAACGTTTTATATCCTTAGACGGATCCAACGGTTCCAACGGTCCCAATGTACGGGCCTATTCATATGGAGTTCCCTATTCATATGGTCGTGGCTATAGCTTTGATCGTAACTTCTTCGGAGACTTTAGGCGTCCATACTCCGCCTACTTAAGGTTCTGATCCTGTGGCTGGACTTTTCCCACCAATAAATGATCACTGAATGCTTTAGAGTTCTTTGTTATTTCGGTATGGAGCTTGGGAAAAATCGTACAATATTTCTTCACAATTTGACTCTTACTTTTCCCGAATCCACGCATCCATCAAGTAATGCGTATTGGCCCACAAATTCCCTAATTGTAATTAAGCATGGGAATCTAGCCAAAGATGCGCAACAGTAGAACTTGGGAAACCGAAACGGAGTAACCGAATAATGTGGCCAATAAAACAACCATGGGTCTAGGGTTTCTTCTTCGGCTGCGGAGGAGTGAGAGATGTAGGAGTAGGAGTACGAGTCCAGGGTGCCGACATTCCAGATACCAGTTACCAGAAAATGGAAAAGAAACAGAGACAGACGGAGCCAGAGATGAGAATGGACTTGCGCTGGGGGATTACAAACGTGTTGCCATTAGTTAACTTCAGCTTTGATTGATTTCAATTAATCTTGGACGCGTGTAATTAATCATTGAACACTTTAATATGGTTAACAACTCTTGACCAAGCAACGGTTAAAAAGGTTCAACGAGCCAACTAAGCAACTGAGCGACCGAGGGAACAGGCCCAAGACATTTGGCTCTGGCAACTGACAAAGTGACTGACCACAAGCCAAATTGGACTTAGGGTTTTGGGGGGCCATTGGGGGGTCTGCGGTTGCCGGGGCAGCCGCCGCCAAGAAAAATGGCCAAGTTTGGAAAATGCGTTGGAGTAATAGTCGGTAACGAACCGAACGGCAGGCACATGTGGATGGATTTCCATAGCCCAGTCCCAGAGGCAAGTCTTTGGGTTCGGATTCAGATTCAGCCTTAGCTTCAGCCTCAACTTGAGCCCCCCACTAATTGTGCTTAGATTTCGCGCCACTTTGGAGAGCTTTGTGGTCGTGGCAACGTGGAAAGCGGTCCGCGATTGATGGCTATCAATGCCGATGACTTATGGCCGGCAAGTCGCAGACTCGTCGAGCCAGCGGACCTGGCAAATCCATCCATCTATGTGGCACATTTGACTGCAGCTCTCCTTGATTATCTTGGCTTTTCCGACTCGCCCTCACTGCTGACTCCCGACTATTGGCTATTGATTTTCCCAGGCCGAACAAATAGCTCGGGGCATCGAGAAAAAGTCTGCCGAGATCCGTGTAAGGTGTCATTAGGCGGGTTCAAATCGCCCTCCTTAAATGGAGCTATCATAAGAATAGTGCCCCCCATTTAGGGCTCCACACAAGGGAAACCATCCATCGGAAAGCAATTGAACGAATTTCACACATGGGCGCTAATGAATTTAATGAAGTCATTTTTCTTTAACCGATTTACAAAACTACTTACAACTGGCGGGGCCAGTCAGTCCGTCGCCACAGAACAAGCGAGTTCATAATTTTGCATCATTAATCATGTCCCTAACAAAGAGATCTCGTCCAGAGCGATCTAAGATTGACAGCCGGCAGGGGAAAAAGGGGGAAAGTAATTTGGGCAGCCAGCTTAGATGGACGATTTGCCGCTGGGAAATTAAAAAACAATTGTTAATTATTAAATTTTAAATTTTACACTTGGCCGCAAACGATGCCCATTTCATCGGGGGCTATTCTGGGAGCTGTTCCGCGGCGAAAAGCCGGGGCCAATCATTGTGGCTCTGGTCGACACCTCGCTGATGAGATCATTCATCACCGCCTGAGTAACCTGAGTGAAATGAGTTGCCATTGTTGCGGGCTGCAGTTCGGACACAAAAAGGTTTTCGGACCTGGAGGAGAGTCTTCTCTTTCCTGTGGTCTTTTTTTGGCATGGGTTCATTTCGGTCTGACTGCTCAATTATCACTTTGATGGGTCTGCAGCGGCAGACAGATCGTGGGGACCCGCATGGAGCCGCGAGAAAGTGTTGGATTGGGGATAAGGTTGCTGAATGGGATGGTGAGATGAAATTGAATGCCACTTCCGAAATATTAATACTTAGGGTCTTTAAAAATACCTACCCTTTGTATTTAACAAAGTAGTGTGCAGTGATTTACTAATATTTTTTATGGAAAGGATCAACAAATGTAGTAATTGGAAAATGTATTGTCCTCAGGATTCTTATAAAATACTTTTCTAATAGTATGTTTATCATAAAAACAATTATTTACAGGTTTTTAAAATATAGGTTTATCAAGCAGAAATATACTTTTGTAAAAATTATCCAAAATAACATACATTTCTGTTTCAGCTTTTTCCCTCTTAATAATCTCGACTGCCTTAACATTCTCTTTGTGCCCGACTGACCTAAGCCAAAATTGCGTTTTTCTTTCGGCTGACCGAAACCGAGGAAATGCGATCACGACCGCAAGCGTTGCGCTTCATTAAAATCGGATTATTGTCCGGCTTTAAGAAGTCCTGCCGAAGGACGCACAGCTGATCTGACCAGTGTCCCCGGGATGGCTGACCACTGCCCGATTCCCACGATGCAGCCACGATGGCTATAAATATAAATCCCCGAGCGTCTTGGGCCGTATGCAAAAACGCAAGACGCCGAAGATGGAATTAAAATGGAAATGCGTATAAATTCGACCCAAAATCAACCTCAAAAAGTATGCGGAATCTTGGGCGAAAACCCAGGTAATCGGAGTGGACAAGCGGAACCCTTTTGGCGCTGCCATAATATGCTGTAAAATTTTGGAAGAAAATCGACCGGAAAATTTATAGGGACTGTGGACAATGTCCAGGGATCTTTCGGGGGTTGCGTTTGCTTAGATCCGAGCTTGCTTCGGCTGCTGCTCCCTTTTCCTGTACCTTTGGCAGAGGTTAAGTCCATCTCGCTGGACACTCGAACTCGAGTTCAATCTCGGCTACCTGGGATGCTGCATCGCCAAGAATTCTGGGCATCTGGTCCAGTGATCTTTCATTGTTAACGCTGCCGCCTCTGACCTTTGGCTGTCTCACGCAATTAGGCAAACTTTCCTGGGGTCAAAAATATGTACATATTCCATTTGAATATTTTGCATTAATCTTTTGCATACAGTTGGCCGCTTTTCTTGTGTTATTTTCTGTGTTTGCCAGGGACGCCCTCCCATCGTCGAATTTGAATAAGTGCTAATGATTTGTGACATGCTTCAGTATGGGCAGGCCAGCTAAAGGCTTTTATGGCGAATGTTTAATTCATGGCTCCGGCTGGGACGGAGACACATAAACAAGGCGGAGCGTACATTATAGTAGCTCATACTAAAAAACCCAAAAGGGGGAGGCCCGCATGTAATTACGTACACACACCGAAAGACATACGGATACAGATACATCGACAGCGGCTGACACATGTGAGCAGTGGCTGACCTTTGACATGCGCTCTCGAAATACATTTCGAGTGGAGCACAAACACATGGGCCCCGGCCCCCATTCGATGGTACACCTACTTTGGCTCTATGTGTATAAAACGAAAACGAACCCTTAACAGCTTTGTGGCTCGCATGTCAAAGGGGATTTCAGGGAAAGGCTTCCGACCAAATGCAATTTCGAATGGACAAACACAGGACTAAATAATTGCAGTTATTTTTAATTGATTCAATGGAATACAAAAGACGGATCATTCAAGAATTATATTTAAGAAATAAATAAATGCTGAGATAATATATAATATATTTTTATTTAGTTTTTTAATATTTAATAGATTTTCTTGGATTTTATTTTCTTGAACATAAGTATAACAGAAAGGAAGATAAGACCGAATAAAAATTTCAGTGGGCAGCTTTAACTAAGAATTATATTAAACATTATTTTTTAAAATCATAACATTTTAAATTTTAATACCATGCGGGTAAGACCTCCTTCAGTTAATATCATTGTAAAATGTGATCCATCACCCGATGACGAATCCTCATCAAGCGTATTGAGTTGACAAAGTTGTTAACAACGAGAGTTTTTCCCTTTTTGTGGCTGGTAAATTTCACATTTGTGTACGCGACTCGGAGCAACAGAATACAATTTCAGCATTTTCCAGCCACGACCAGCTCCACTTTCACAATGAATCATCGGGCTAAAAACAACTGCTGGCTGTAGAGGGAACTTTTCCTGCAGACCCACCGAAAGGATGGTTTAGGGGGTGGGGCAATAGGGTAGGATAAGAAAAGGGGGTGGGGCAGGGAAGGCGGGCGCGTGTTCGTCAGTTTAACCAGCATGACATGGCCCGGTCCATTGCGGTCCTGGTCTCTGGCATTTTAGCACTTATTCATAAAGTCCTTGCCAGCAACGGAAGACAAAAGGCAAAGCAAAAAAGAGCAAGAAAAAAACGCCAGGGAGAAGAGGAATTACTAAAAATTTATCAATGTAAAAGTTGGTCGGTTTTCGAAGGGGGAAGGGGACGGGGTGGCTAGAAAGCAGGAAACAAGCAACAATGTAAATTATATGCCAGTTGGTTTTGCTATTTTAGAGGGGGTCCCTCAAAAAGGGGGTCGGTGGGTAGCAGACTGCGAGTGGCTGCACCACAGCTTTTCCTTTGTCCCGGAATGGGAGCAGATCCATGTGAGAACGAAAATATATATCTCTGCCCGTACATATGCTTAAGAGAAAGCCAAAGTCCTTGGAACACAGGATGCATTCGAGTGCAGTAGTGCATCCACATGTGGCAAGCCAAGCTGCAAACCACAATGTTGGCATCATAACTGGAAAATTATGTAATGCTAGCAATTCTTTTAAGATTGTGACAAATTTAAGAGACATTCAACGGCAAAAAATACCGAAGAAAGCCAAAATATAAAAAAAAAAAATTAAAAGCTAACCTTAAAAAAAAAATATTGAAAATAATATATTTTTGGTAAATCTCTTGCAAAAGAATATTCAAAATTGTTGAGTACAGAAAGCCTACAGAATCTTTATCATTAAATCGAATAAATTATAAAAAAATAAAATAATCCCATATCATCCTTTAAATAATTATAATACAATATTTTGCTAAACTAATTACATTGATTTAGAAATTTTTTCTCTTTATAATGCGTAAAAGCATCTTTTTAAGTTCCAGACTTATGATTATGAAACCTATGTTTATAAAACTTTAAACATCTATTGATAGATATTTTATATTTTCACTGCAAAGCCTGAATATATTCAAATCTCGCTAGTAGTTCAGCATACAGCTCTTTTCGCCCACCTGGGCCCACAATTTCCACCCAACACCCCAAGGACCACCCACTTTCAATGAACTGTCCAAAGCAGAAGAGGGGCACAAAAAATGGCCAACAAAGAGGTGGAAAGGGAAACTGGGGCCTCTGTGGCAGCGAGTGCAAAAAGGCGCTCAAATGGGGTTGTCAGTATTTAACCCACAGGGGTTGGAGGTGCCGCCCGACTGCGCGAACTCCGCAGAAGTTGCTGGGGAGTCAATGTGGGTGGGTGGGTTACACACTAACAAGAGGTGCCGAGGAGCACAGGATTAGGTTCAAGGAAGAAGAGGAGTCACCAGGATGCTCGGGGGATCGGGAGATCATCGCATCGCAGGGACCCCACACACATAAGTCATATGGCCAGAAAGAGAGACGCTGCCAATTGAATTAGACCCTAAACGGGGCTGCCAGAGAGAGACATCTAGCGGTGTGTTGATAAAAAGCCAGCCAACGCTTTTTGTTCCCTTTTGGCCGCCTTTGTGGGGCAGAAGGAAAAAAAATGCAAACGAGCGAAATTCCGATACAGTTAATGATAAGGCATGGAGCCGAAAGAGATGGAGCTACGTGGGAGCGAGATTGCTATATGGTGGTAGATGGGGGCGTGGCCTCCGCGAGAGCCACGGAAAACTTGACGAAACTCGGCGACTGAGTGAAACCGAGTCCAATTGGAGGTGGCTCGCACTCTCTCACTCTCTAATTCGAGTGCAAAGTTGGGGTGGCATATCGTTCATCATCCAATTGTACGTTTGCACTTCGCTCTGGCCTTCCCATGGCCTTCCCACCCCTCGGAAAACCCGGAGACTTCCCGACATCCCGACATCCCGACATCCCGACACCAGAGGGCGCCAGACTCCGTGGCCCGTTACGCCCCCCTTTTTGGGCAGGAGGCAGGAGGCGGGGGAGAGTGCAAAGTGCGGTGGCCACAATTTGGCCCTTTGGACTGACTGGCCTGCAACTCTTGGCTTTGCCGGCGACGACACTTTTCCAATATTTTCCATTTCCCATTTTCCCATTTTCCCACTCTCACACCTCTCATGCTGCGGTTGAAAAATGAAGTGCCGACAGTGTTGCATGGCATCCAGCGATTTTCACTCTCCTCCAACTTAGTTGCGTGCAAATAGGCGGTCGTTAAATGCTAATTCTAAATGAAACCAAGGAATAACAGTCGGCAAATGGACATATCAAGTTGCGCGAGGTGTCCTCGTTAAGAATGAATTCAATTATCGTTATGATTTCATGTTTTGGCACTTCCCCAGTCATTTCCCCCCCCGACACGTAAACAAAGTCAACAAAGTAAAGTAAAAATCGCTGGCAGTCGAGGAGCCAGGCCCTGATCCAATTAGCCCAGGGAAATTATTATAATTATATTACGACAGTCAGTGGGCTTCAGTTGGCCACGGCCAGTAGAGTTCTATTTAGGGGCAGTCCGACTATATTGAGCGTTAATAATACGATGGGCTTTCGTTATGCGACATTGGGGTCAGCAATGTTACATAAATCGGTATCTTTAAGTCCGTACATACGTGCTTTTAATATTCATTTCATGGAAAGTCATCAATAAGCAAGTAATATCCATTTAACGACATAAAATTTGAATTAAAACAAGTCTATTGGCTATAAAAGGCCACTAAAAAAGTTGGATTAGTTATTCTTGAATAGCAATCTAATAAAAAGTAATAAAATAAAATACATTCGCTTTTCTGCAGCTGGAACTAACATCTTATAAATAAATAAATACATATTCAAGTTGGGCATTAATTTTTAAGGTCTTACTCTGACCAGCCTAGGTTCAAGGTTTATCACTCATACGCACTGTTGCCTTTGATCAAATGGTTATTTTAGTCAAGGTGACGTAGATTTCAACCATACATTTGTTTACTATTTCTTTCATAAAAAACATAAAATGTTGATGGGAAATTATTTTTTACAAATCTCAACACTTTGTACTTTCTGTACCATACTGTATAGTACTGCTGATATCCCACTTCATCCTGCCATTCATCATCGTTCTATCTTTATAAACTGTCCGCTTATCTCGCTTTCCTTTGGCTAGCAACCAATGGCAAAGAAGCTTTAAAGCAAACATTTAGCCGCGAACGGGCATTATGGCCGCCAAACTCTTCCCCCAGATAAGAAAGCGGACTTTAAGCCCCACGGAAATTGGTGGAAAACGGCGAATGTAGAACGCACTTTAAGGCGGCCAGCCAACCAGAGAGGAACCACTCGCATCGCCGGCAAAGATAAACAGTGGGCATAAACTTATTTCGGGGTGGAGACTGATTTTAAACAAATTGCTAAAAAGTTGGGACCGCAACCCAAAAAAAAAAGTCCGGCGATAAAGAGCCTTAACGGTAAAAAGTATCTAACAGATGCGCCCAACAGCGAGCTAATAAGAGCAAACGGGTTCTACATAGTTGGACGAGTGATATTGGATTGGAGTGGGTTTCGTTGAGTGAGGAAAGCGCTCAGAGAGAGAGAGAGAGTGGTGGTGGTGGTGGTGGTGTGCTATCCCAAGTGGTGGTGGCAAACCAGCCAAACGCGTCGAAGGTCTTGCCCCACCACCGAGAGCGAGCGAGAGCGGCGATTTCACTCAACTGCAGGAGATATAGGAAAACCTAGAAGAAAGAAAGAAACAGCACCACTGATCAACTGAGCTGAGAATGGGGAGCGGAGAGAGATTTGTGTGATGTGTCGTTAGGTCGTATCGGTCGAGTCGAGTCGGGTCGGGTCGTGTACCTTTTGCCACGAATGTTGTGCCAGTCAGGCTCTAAAAGGCCTTACGAGAACAGCTGAGATTTTCGCTGCTCCGCATGACGCAAAGATACAAAGATACAAAAATTGAAAAATTTTCAAGTCTTTAAGATATTATATCTCGTGTGTGCGCCGAGCGGGAAATTGTTAAGCAAAAAAAAAAAAAGAAAAACCAAGTGTTTTGTTAGTGAATTCTATACCACTGCTGAAATGCTAATAGCATAGGCAGCATAAAAAATAAATTATAAAAATTCATTAAAAAAGAGAAATATTCAAAGCGCGGCTGACAAGCTTCCAAGCCTCCAAGGATAAGAGCTAGAACTCTGCCAAAAAGTGTGAACCGTACAAAGTGTATTCCAGCAATTATCCCACGTGTTCCGACCCGGCCGCCAAAATTATTACGCACAATTCGCTGAGCGTGTACGGCGGCGGCGTCATGTGCGCCTCCCCGTCCACGGCTCCCGGCTTCTTCAATCCGCGCCCGCAGTCCGGCGCGGAGCTGTCGGCCTTCGACCTAGGCCTGTCCCGCTCGATGGGCCTGGGGGTTGGGAGTTCCCGCCGCACAGCGCCTGGCACGAGCCGCCCACCTCGCTGGGCGGTCACCTGCATGCCGCTTCGGCGGGACCGGGCACCACCACCGGCAGCGTGGCGACGGGCGGCGGCGGCACCACCCCCAGCAGCGTGGCCAGCCAACAGTCGGCGGTCATCAAGCAGGACCTCTCCTGCCCGAGCCTCAACCAGTCGGGTGGCCATCCGCACGGCATCAAGGAGGATCTCTCCAGCCTGCCCAGCGCCAACGGAGGATCCGCCGGTGGCCACCACTCCGGCTCCGGTTCCAGTTCGGGGGTCAACTCCGGACACGGCTCCGACATGCTGCCCCTGATCAAGGGCCATGGCCAGGACATGCTGACCAGCATCAAGGGACAGCCCACCGGCTGCGGCAGCACCACCCCCAGCTCCCAGGCCAACAGCTCCCACTCGCAGAGCAGTAACAGCGGATCCCAGATCGACAGCAAGCAGAACATCGAGTGTGTCGTTTGCGGGGACAAGAGCTCCGGCAAGCACTACGGACAGTTTACCTGCGAAGGTGAGTACACAGAGGGAAATTAAATTAAATTTAATTAAAATTAGGAAAACAAATTCCAGTGAAGGAAAGCAATTTAGGTTTTTTAAAAAGGCTTGAGAGAATTTTTGAATTTAGTTTGCCTATAAAGCATATAAAGTTACCCAAGGACCGAGTTCAATTCCCACCAGTGCATTAGAATTTTTATACGTTTTGAGTAAAAGGGAAATAAAATTAAAAAAAAAAAAAAAAGGAAAAAGGACCAAAAAAAAAAAAAAATTTTTAAAGAAAAAAAAAACCCAAGCAAAACAAACACCCCCCCCCCCCCCCCCCCCCCCCCCCCCCCCCCCCCCCCTCCCCCTTTTTTTTAAAAAAAAAAAAAAAAAAAAAAAAAAAAAAAAAAAAAAAAAAAAAAAAAAAAAAAAAAAAAAAAAAAAAAACAAAAAAAAATTAAAAAAAAAAAAACCCCCCAAAAAAAAAAAAAAAAAAAAAAAAAAAAAAAAAAAAAAAAAAAAAAAAAAAAAAAAAATATAAAAAAAAAAAAAAAAAAAAAAAAAAAAAAAAAAAAAAAAAAAAAAAAAAAAAAAAAAAAAAAAAAAAAAAAAATTTTATTTTTAATTGCAAATGCCTATGTTAAATGTCAAAGTAGAGATTTGGCATCGTATCATAACAACTTTTAATGCTGACTAGCGATCTTACCAAGCTGCAATTGGGGGTCAATTGATTTCGTACTTGGGTTCGCCTTCGAACTGGGGATGACCAAACAGAAATGGCCAACTCGACGTAATAGAAAGCGAGCACAAAAGCGTGCCTGCCAGCCGCTGATTTTTGACAGTTTCGGTGAATTATGGCAGTTTGATGAGTTGGCAATAAACCCCCGGCCAGGTGTGGGTGTATGTGCGCCGGAATGGGAATTCTCTTACCAGGGTCATGCAAATCTTGGCGGGAGTCGAGATGCACCTGGAATGGCAATAAACCAATGTCTCATGTGTACCCAAATCATGTAAATATATTTTTACGATCAAAAAATACATTTATGATCGAGAGAGAATAGCCCACTGTCGCTGTGTTGTTAAAATATCACTAAAGTTTAGAGCTACATTCAGCTAAAAGAGGTAACTTTCCCAGATACTTTTGTATCTCTGGTCAGCACTCCGTTACACTAGATTCCCCCAGCACGAGAGCTCTTGAAAATACTTATACATGCAGCGATCCGGGCACGCACTCAGTCTTATCGTCAGATAAAAATTATTATCTAAATAAAATACGGGCCGTGCTTTGTCCTAAGCCAAACAATTGTTGTGCAAACATGCAAATTGTGCGGCGGCCGCTAAATGAAGCGCCCACCTTCTTATTGTCTCTCTGTGAGTTGGATGTTGGAAGCAGGGGAACCTCACCTGGAGTTCCGGAAGGGAAAGGGGGCGGGGTAACTGCATTCAGAGATAGAGGGAGATAGGCTCTGGCATTTAGTGCAGCTTCAAGTTGAACTTGTCATACTCGTATCTCTTCAAATGTTCTGGCACTGGAGCAGAGCCACAGCCACAGAAGAAGAAAAGAAGTGACTATGACTATGACTGGGCAGGCACAGTGGGCCTCTAGAAAGATACTCCTCGCACTAAGAGATTCCCAGATACTTGGCACTCCGATGGCTCAGATCCCACTGTTCGTTCGCGGGCGCTGCTATTATTATTAATCACCGAGCATTTTGTACGCATGCGCAACCCACAACAGCAACAATCAGAAGATATGCGGCTCTGTGACCGCCTCGTTGCATTTTGAAGGTGTTTCCCCGATTCCCCCCATATGTTGTATGTAGTATGTAGTGCATGGGTACGCGAGTATCTCTCGCTTGCCTGTTGGCCTGATGATGTTGCCACGATAGCAATCTATTTTGTTCTATGCAATCGCCAGACGAAGCTGTAGCTTCAGCTTCGGCTTCGGCTTCACTCAAATGCTGGCGAAATAAAACGTAGGAAAAATCATAATAAAGCGCATAGAGCCCATATCATTGCCGGCGTTTTCAGGGTTTTAGTTCTCTTTTTTTATATTTTGTTTCTTGTTTATTTCGCTGAACCCCAGAACGGCGAGAATGTGCCCGGGTCGGGTCCTTTCAGCTGATTCACTTTGAGGTGCAGATACTTTTCGAGGCTCTTAGAAAAGAAAGATACTTCGCGGCAACTCGTTTTGGATTTTTTAGGCTGTCTGAGCTCAGAACTGGTGTGTATGTGAGCTCACTTGTCCGTCTGTCTCGAGGTCCCTTCTGTCCTTCGTCTATCCGTATGTCCAGTTTCCAGGTTTCAGGGCACACGGCTAGCTGGGTTTCGGGTATGTGAACTTATGCCAAGACACCCCGCCAGTCGTCGTACTCGTAGCTGCAAGATTAATTGTAGCTTATGCGTGTTGTTCGCTTCCCCTTTCCCTTTCCCGTTCCTCCAGATCTTCCTACCCATTGTGGTGGCAACTTGTTTGATTTCGCGCCCAGCTGCTGGTGAAATTGGGAGGACGAGCGGCCAAAAGTCTTGCACTCATCAGCAGCGAGCGTAGTAACCTTTAGCCGACTGCAAAAGTCACGGTTTAGTGGCGGCTGAAAAATGTGCGCTGATAAAAGTGCCTCGATAATATTAATGATGAGTTGGCTCTGGCTCTAATGTGGCAAGAGCTCGATCCTACCCACCGTGCCTATTAATTTGGCTATTTGTCATGGCTATTAGTGGCCAAAAAGCTGAGATTTCTCGTATCTGCCGGCTGCACCATCAATCAAAAGCTTGCACAAAAATATATCCCGGCCGCAGTTTTTCTAGGAACCCAATTGAATTTCCAATTCTGACAAGAAAACTATCTCAGCACCCATGTCAAAAGTGAATTAGCATAACTTAGAGTCGCGCGGCGCACTCATGACAATGACAAATAAATTTTGCGAAAAATTACCTCCACTACTAAGTACCTGGCATGCAATTAATTAAAACAAACATCAACTAAGCAGAGCAGGACCGAATTATTAAGCTAAGAGCAGCCTCCGCTGCGAGACCATAAAGAGCTGTAAAAAATTGCCATCACAACTAATTGTTAAGCGCCAGCCGAGCCCATTAGCCGCCACAAATAATGTGTGTGAAGTGCAGCCGCCGGCTACAGATTGTCAACTCTGAGCAGCATAACTAATCCCGGCCTGGGTTGTTCCATTTACGAATATGTATGTTCGTTTTCCGCGAACGAGCTTACATCAAACTCATTTAAATAGATTCCCACGTTGGGCAATTAAGACTCAGAACCCCGAAACCCCGAAATCTCAAGCTCAGGCTCCCAAATCCCAGGGTTTTGTCCGAAAATTTTGATGTCGCCAAATGCTTGGACAGTAGTCAGTTGCCATTGTATCTTTGTATCTCCTCGGAGGGGGAATCGCGTTTCCTCCGTCTTCTTCCTTTGTGCAGAATTGTATTCAACATGTGTGGCTTTTTAATTAACTTCATTATGATGTGGACAAATATCTTGAGGAAAAAGATTAAAAATACAGAAGGGGAAAATGCAGAAGAGATTTCTAAAAAATACATACTTTTTATGGGTTAATAACCAATAATATCTACATTTATTTCGCATTTATTTTCTTTGTGAATAGCAATATTTAAAATATTTTTCCTTTTCACTTTGCACCTCTTGACAATCTGTTAAATGGCGCTCTTCTGAAATGCTCGCTGCGCTGTGGAAATTCATTCCACTTTGAACATTTAACAAAAGCCAAACATAAATCAATTTGCTGTCTGTGATACGACCTGCCCCTCCTCCTCCCCCACCGCCCCTCGCAGAGCAAAGTAAAAGCAACAAAGTAAATACGAATGCAGAAAATTAACAACGCCCACCGAACATTGCAATTTATGACGCTGCACTTTTGGGCATTTTTCTGTATTTTTTTTTAATTTTTTGGGGAATGGGCGTGGTCATAACGCCCGCAGCAGCGGATTTCTTATTTATTAATTAGCAAGAGGCGAAAATAAATTCAAGGCTTGTATTAAAAATTTGCATTTACCAGGGGGCCGAAGTCAATTTCTTGGCCATAACATATATCAAATAAATCGCCTTTTGATAAACATTTATAACTTCCGTGCGATTTGCAGTCTGGGGCCTCATGATTTACAACTCGGTAGCTGTAGCTCTTTCTCCCCCATGTGAATGGGATAACTTATGGCCTCGATATTTATTTTGACAAATTTTTATGTTTGCACTGGCAAATATTCGAGCCATATTCCCGGCCATTTATCGGGTTAACGACGCTGTCACAATATAATCATACTTATAGGCGAGCATTGCCCAACGTTGTGTCAACATTAATGAGCCCACAGCTGAACCCTTCATTAAAGGCAGCCAAAGGAAAATCACCAGAAACAAAAGTTAATTGTAAAGATATTGCCGAGACAGAAGAAACAAACAAACAAACTGGCAGCAGTAAGGGCAAAACAACTGAAAACTGCAAACTGCAGGCAGGCAGACATTGTAATCATTAAAAGCTGGCTTGTACTACAAATCGTTGTACTTAGAAGAAATGTTCGAGCCAATAAAGCAGCTAGCCCCGTCTCGAAGACCAGCCAACCAGTCTACCCGTCTACCAGTCTACCGATCCCAATTCCAATCCCCAAAATGAGGCGCAAAAAATTCATCCTGACACGATGCGATTTCGAAAAAGGCCCCCGAAATAAAAGAGAGTCTCGAGAGTCTTCTGGGGGTAGGGAAATCGTGAACTACCGACTTGATCCGCTTTATAATGTAACGGTTTAATTAATTATGTTAAGACCGGCTCCTCGAACATTGGGCTTTGGGCCAAAGAGCTTTGTGGTTGCTTTGTATTTTCTGTTGCATTTTCCACTGTTGCCACTTCATGCGCAATTTTCGTTTTTTAAACCAAGTTCGGCTAATCGATCAGGCCCAGCGAAATGCTGCCTTCCCTGGCTGGCACGTTTTCTGTGCATCTTCGAGGGCTAACAAAAAAGACTTGCACTTGCAACTTGGCTAGAACTTACCTTTAACCATAACCCCGCTCTTGGCCAGTCCCAGAAGTTCATGACCAGATCGTTGGCACGGCTTAGAGACGCCGACTTGGGCCGCATAACTTCGCATAGCATCAGTTAAATCAAAGCCAAATCGCTTATCTGAGGCGGCTTTTCTTTAAGATTTTCCCTCGGGCCACGTGACATATGGAAGATGCAAATGAAAAGCCAGTTAAGACTCTGCTCCGATTCCAAGGCGAGACGAAACAATTGCGAAAGTTGTGCTATTCGGATACGGGGAGCTTCCCAGATTGGCATTTGATTTACAGTTGACCCATATTGGGCCATAAAGTCTGGTGGTGGTGGCCCGGTGGGATATCCACTGACTTCCACCTGTTCCGTTCCAGGTTCCCCATTTATTTTGTGATTTTTCTTCACTCCGCCCCGAGGCCCCGTTCATAATCAGTGCATTTTGTAGATACCCCAAGTGCATGAGCCGAGTTACGAGTTACTTGGAGCTTCGTGTCTGAACGGCGGGGGCTGTAATTATGTTTCGGTTGTACTCCAGATATTTTGTCTGGACTTGGCGCTGCCGCTTGTGCTAATTACTTTGACTAGCTGGCTGCTCCGTGTAAGCTTAACATTTAATTATTGCACCTTAATGATGGCCCCCCGTTCCCCGGCTGCCCTCCTCCGCCTCCTCTGTGTGCATTAGTAATTAGAAAATGAGCCAAAGTCAAGGCGACTTTGACTTTGCATCGCTACTCTCAGTTCTCCGTTCTCCGTTCCGCTTCCTCTGGGCCAAGCGATCATTGACCGGAGTTGGAAAATGGAAAATGGGAAAAGTGCAGGCCAAGTCCAAGGCAATTGATTGGGCCATCTGCCACCCGAGTGCATGTGCCAAAAGATACAGATACAGATACTCTTGCGGGCAGCGAGATGGCCAACTAATTTAACGCTTTAAATTGCCCAGCCAAGCGGCAAGGGGATCTCGTGCGGCGCAGATAGAAGGTGCCTCTTCGCCTCACTTTCAGGAAGTTCAATTATTAAAACGCTTAGCTTAGCTTTGGTAAGTTCTCGGAACTTGGAACCCCAGCTAAACTAACTGTATTGAACGCTTTATGGCGCGTAGCACACGCGATTACCAACTACCGTCCTCAGCTTCCTCTCGGTTCCTCAGCCACCCGCCTGCTGGCAATTAGGTGAAGCGGTAATTGAAACTACCGCAAAACGAAGAGTTGGCTTAAACTTGCTTAAGCCAAAAAGCCAACCGTTTAAGCCGAAGAAGCCGTAGAATAAGAGCCAAGGATTCTAGGGCTTCGTCCGCACTTCCCACACTCGTATCTCAGCGCTAGAGCGATCCACCCTTTTTCGGTTATTGATATAACACGATATCCACTCCGCCCCGTCTCAGATTTTGTTTACGGTATCTGTGCACTCGTACTCGTACTCGAACTCGTACTCGTATCTTCATCAATAACGACGCGCATCTTTCGCATCGCAAAGTCTTCTGGGGATCGCTGTTCTCCGTTCCTCCCGCTCCAAAGTCAAGATATCCCAGAGATACTCGGGATGGAGCTGCAGCTCTAGATAGAGTTGCGATAGGCGCATATGGGCAGTTTGCCTCTGTTGCAAGTTCTTTTATTTACCTCTGCCTTTCTGGCTCTGTGGCTTTCTTGGCCATTCGTCCGCCCCCCTCTCACACAAACTGGCCAAACTCAACTGGAGGAAACTCAACTGGAGAAGGGAAACGGGGGGCCAAAAGGCAACGGTACGTTTTGGCAGAAATCGTGACTTGGTACAATATCGTTATTCGTAGATCATATGGTGTAAAAGCCGGCAGTGTGTGAGTGGGTATTTCTAGATGTGTTCGTAGTTGTCTCTCGGGTTGGTCTGCATGAAAGGAGCCAAAAAGTGAGGAATACTGAATGCCCTTTGGTGTAGGAAATTAAACTAGTCCGCCTGATTAATTAATCCTTGATCTGTGATCATTATTGGGTCTTAAATGGTTTACTCTGAGATCTGACTAAATAGTCCGAAGCTACTTAATTCCATTTGATCTTCATCTAATCCCACAGCTTTCATCACTTCTTCTTAGTGCATTAAGCCATCGACTTTCAATCAATTTCAATTTGCCGACCACGTTTTGTTTCCATTTCGGTGGGAGGCTTAAGCCACACGATCGCATTGGCAAAAAGCATTGAAAGATCTTTTATAGCCTGTGATCGCATGCTATATAGGCGGTGGAGTGGAGTGGATAGCTTGGAATGGGTTAGGATAGGATCGAGTCTGCATAAACGCTCAGCGCTTACATATTTTGTTTGATGATGATTTTACAGCTTAAAACGAATTTTATGAGCATATGCCATTGTTTTGAGTTATTGTGAGAAATCTTTTGGGTCTGTGGAAAAAAGGAGGAAAAGAAGGAAAACCAGACAATAGAGTATATATACACCCAGAAAAAAATATGGACTTAAAACCCAAAAAATGGACTTAAACTAAGGTAATATGGACTAATTTTGGACCTAAGGAATCTTAGACTTGATTTAAGTCCTAACACACTGACTTGTTTTAAGGCCATGATGGTCTTAAAAAAAGTCCATATTACCCAAAAACTTAAGCATTTAGATATTCATTTAAACTTACAAAGCAGTTAGCCACTCGAAAATTTAATAAGGGCGTAGCCCAGAGGAAACTATGCCAGCTCCCGGTTATTTTGAACCGGGTTCGAGTCCAGTACAAGACATGTTTTATTTTTTTTTACATTTATTTTTTTAATTTTATTATTGTATTTATTTTTTATTGTTATTAGTAAATGAATTTTACAACTGAAAAAACTTTCAACTCATTTGCACCAGTGGGATTCGAACCGGGGTCCTCTCGCTTCAGGGGCAGACACCTTACCAGTCACACCATCAGACACTGTTAAGTACATGTGTCTAAGCGACACATAAAGTCATTTTTAAAATTTTTTATTAGATAAAAATTATTAAAATATTATGTGTACTCTCTCTTACTAAGCTAACATCTCATATGGATAAGATAAACATTGTTAATTTAACAGCATAGTTAACATATTTTTTATATACAGTTGTGATAGATGAAAAAATCGGTTTTTTTTATAGCATATTCTTGAAGTATATACTGTTGAGAATACTCTTACAAAAATTCAGAACGATCGGAGCATTAGAACCGAAGTTGTAGCTATTTATAGCGCACTACCACTACCTGCACATCGGCCGTTACAAACTTGAAACTTTAAACGCGATTATCTCAGAATCTTGTTTTTTCGAAATTATCTTTGCGGTGGACACGACTACTATAAAACTATTAATCCGATCGACACAAAATTGACCACTTATTTATTATAACAATAGCTAGTCCTTGAACGAAGGATTTAGAGCGTCTTTAATTGCATATTATTTTCCTTTTAGGGATACTTTTCCTAAAAATACATTAAAGCCAAATCATCAAACTTGGGGCTGTCCATACATTAAGTAATTAGCAAATGATTACTGCATGGCAAAAAAAACGAAATGTATAGTTTTATACGTTTTCGCTATATAAAAAATCAACACAATAAAATTAATTAAACATTTTCTTGAAAATATAAAAACGAATACATATATTATTGTTTATAGACTATTTTTTTTAATATACTCATAAATGGGTAAAATTTTGATAAGTACCAAGATCGTAATTTCCTTCCGAATAATAAAAAATTATTTGTTTTATTTTTTTGTTAAAAAAAAGTTTTTTTGTGTTGTTTATGGGCATGTGTTATTTTTTAGGTAGTGGACTATATTTCACGATTTTAATTCCTTAAAATCTATGGCCTAAAATTGAACATTTATGGCCATTTTTACTATTTTTAAGTCCACAATGGCCTTAAATCACCATTTTAGGCAATGTAGTCCATGTTTCCTTAAATCTAGGAATTTTTTTTTTCTGAGTGTATAGGTATATCCCCCTACCACATAGCAAAAAACTCTTTATGCAGAAAACGCTGATGCAGAGCCAAGTGATACACATGTTTAGATACGCGTCGGCGACATTAACTTGCCGTGTCGCTGGCTTGTCCTACAACAACACCCAACTGTGGCCCAAAGCACTTAGCCACCAAAGCTGAAGTTGTGGCCAAAACCAAAAACCGAGAGCCGAAGCCCAACGAGCCATGGCTGATCTGGCCGTCTAGCTTAACAGTAAATTCGTGGCATTCGAGCCGAACTTGAACTTGCTGCCAGTTTTCTACCTTCATTTCCCCCTTTTTTTGGGAGAAGGGGAAGGGAGTAAAGGGATGGCTTGGCAGGCCAAGATACACTTTGTTAATTGAAAGCCATTAAAGGTAATTTTATGGGAGGCGTTAAGCCATGAAACGTGTAACATGACCATTGACATGGGCATCGGGAGAGCGACTTGGACGCGGTCTGGTGCCGCGGAGTTTGTCAAGGAACCTCGCCACTTTGCCGAGTACAAGTGGTAACAATTCTTTTTTTTCAAGGGGGAGTAGGGTGCCAAGGAATTTGTGTTTAGCTCTTTTTTTCTTTCATATATTTAATTCCTGATTTCATCTCTTTCTTTGCAGGCTGCAAATCCTTTTTCAAGCGCTCTGTGCGACGCAATCTCACGTACTCGTGCCGCGGCAGCAGAAACTGCCCCATAGATCAGCATCATCGCAATCAATGTCAATATTGCCGATTGAAGAAGTGCCTCAAAATGGGCATGCGACGCGAAGGTAAGACTCATCACTCTCCTCTCAACTAATATATAGAAAAAACAGAAACAGAAAAACAAGTGTGTTATTCAGAACAAAGAAATTCAGCAGGCATTGCTGCTGTGTTGTGGGTCAATTAAAAGTCAAACCCAGAGGCAAACAGAATAAATTAAATCAACGGCAGAAGAACGGAAGTAGAGCATCGCGATGACTAAATGTCACATGCTAGGAATTTCAACAGCGGCGAATTTGAACAATTGGGTTCGGGTTTTCAGTTCGAATCGGATCAGTTGAGTTATTTGGGTGCCAGGAACTATGTATGCCAGATCGGATCAGTTCAGATCGCTGCGGATCAGGCCAAGTGTTTTCAAATTCACAATTCATTTCAGTTTAGTTTAGTTTGGTTTAGTGGGTCTAGCTAGACCCCATTAGAGAACCCGAAGACAATTAGGCTGGCAATTGCAGCCTATTGACCCCGCAGATCAAATGCAAACTCATAATTACAATGAAGCCGATCCAAGTACACTGAGCAAAATGCCAGAATGCAATTGATCAGCTAATCAAATGCAGCCCAATGTGTGTAACTAATTTGTAAGCACGGCCAAGCCAAATATTTGGCATACTTGGGTGAGAGACTCGTTTTCCTGCTGCAATGATTGACTGATTGACTGACTGGGTGACTGAGTGACTGTGTGACTGACTTATTGTCGGTCCGCCAATGGCCAGTTACACTTGTCAGCATTAACAATTAGCGTCTGTCAGGGAGTCGCAGATACAAAAGATAGAGACTGACTGCAGTTAGCGGACGCTAAGCTGTTATTATTTGCACTAATATTGACAGGTTTTTCGCAAAATGCTAATAGCCAGCAGCAATAGCAAAGGTAATAGCAAAAGCAAAAAGGCAACGGCAACGGCTACAGATGTCTGAACAGTGTACACATCGATTTGGGTTAAGAACGAAAACGTTAATTTATGGCGACTATGGGCAATTAAAATGCAGCTATAGCCACAGCCGCAGCAGCCTCCTCTCAATGCACTTGTAATTAAATGAATATAAACATTTATTTAGTCGCCGACGGATTGTGAAAAAAGCATTTCAAATTTACCTAAGCCAAGACAAGTTTTTGGCTAATGACACAGTCCGAACCCAGGTCTACCGATCTACCTGTTGGGCCCATTAACTCGGCTATTTCCCCACCCTGTACTCTGTACTTGCCCCAGAACTCGTAAAACGCAATAGAGTTCAACACCTTTTGCCACATTCTGGAGCTGGGTTTTTTTCTTCAGCTGTTTTTAATGCCAGTTGAGTCACATTTCTTTAATGACAAGTTCTGCGTAAAACTAGTCCCCGCGCTATCAAAGCTGAGAAATCGTGAGAAAATCTCAATTCTGCATAGGAGGTTTCCTTCGGTTTTACCCTCTTTATGCGAAGGGCGGAGTACTTAGCTGCGAAGCGGGACAAAGGTTGTGCCTGGAACGACCCTGGGTCAAGAAATTGTACGGGTTTGGCGCACAAAAAGCCTCACAAAACCTGAAAAAATCTGACAAAAACAACATGAAATCGGTGTTCCGGGTCGCTCTAATTAAATTGCAGTGTCAATTGGTCAAGGGAAGTGGGATGGGATGGATTCCGAAACTGGTAGCAAAAACTAGTTTTTAGGGGTAGCAAAATTATGTAAAATAATTTGGGATTTATTTTATAAATTTTTGAAGGGATTGCTGACTGGCCATTCGAAAACTGTGAACTCTTGCTCGTGAACTCTGACCACCGAAATTCCACTGGCTGGCAAATGCAATCAACACCTGCATTCGCTCGATTCCAGGGGCTTGGTCGAACGCATTTCTGGGCAGACAATAGCCGGAGTTAGTTCGACTTGGCTAGTTGGTTAGGAAAGTGGGTCAGCAAAAGGTTTCTCCGCCACCTCCATGGCCAGATGGAAACTCCACACCTTGGCAGCCAGACGAGAGACACACACATCCTATCCTAGGCACACCTAGAGCTCCGTCGCAATCTGGCCAACGCAATCGGAGCCTTGGGCCAGGCCAATTCAAAATCCGCACTAAAACAAAGCAATGGCAAAAATGCACAAAGCGTTATTATTGATCGAAGCTCAATGGTGGTGCAGCTGGAAGAACTGGATTCGCCGATCTCTACCTGGAAACGTAACGTCTTTTGGATTTTGAATTTTAAATTTTTTCATATTCGAAGGAAGCGAAAGCGTTTTTGGTCAGTCCGCACAATGGACATATCCTGAAATCCCTTTCTGTCTGTCCCGGCAATCCGAAGGTGTTTGTTTATTGCCTTTGCCGTGGCAATTAAGCCGGGGGTTGCACCACCCGAACCAGTTGACCACTGTCCATCTACCCATCGTATGTAAGAAAGAGCGAGATAGGGACACTTATTTACACAATACATTTGCGTAATTGTGTTTAAGGGGGGATGAGGAGGGATAGGATTCCGTAGGACCTTTGCAGAAGATGCACTTGGTGATCTATGACGGCAAACCGGTTGACCGCTTGGTTGGCCAGTGTCCAGAGCCTTATTTATGCGCCTGGGAAAATATCGCCTGACCGCAGCTAAAAGCTGCTGGCCGCAAAACCCAAAAGGAGTGGAAAATCTGCCTAAGCCTGTGGTTTCGGTTCCGAGATCATCAGCAGCAGTCCCAGATTACAGCAGCCAAGAAAGCAATTGCCTTTTGGGAATGGGAATGGCTGCCCTTTTGGCTGATTGCTTAATGAATGCATCTTCCGCCAGCGAGCACGTGCTCAAGCTCTGAGTTCCCGCTCACATGTCACTCGAGAGCGTGTCCAAGTGGCCTCGGCTGAATTAACTTTCGGCAGATATTAAGTATCCATATCCACACATGTAGCCTCTCCACCATAGTCATGTCCCTGTCCGAATGCGAATCCGAATCCACGTCAATGTCTCGGCGAAATGTCGTTTCCGGCCAGAGTTCAAAAGGCCTTTCACTTTCCATTTAGCCGCTCAGTTGTTAAGCATTTACATTGTTAATTATAATGTTTATACACACAGCTCCGCTGGTTGCAAAAAATAAAACCTGTCCATTATTTTCTTTCATTGCTTAAAAAACCAAGCCAGAGACTCTCCCCACATCTGCTGCTTCATCTGCAAGATAGATGTGTCGTGTGTGTATCCGAAGGATGCGTTGAAAGTATTTAGTTGAAATTTGCATATCTAAGCAGTCGAGACAACACAGTAAGGGGTTGAAAGGTACTCGATGGGGTGGCAGGAAAGTATCTTATGACGATGTCTTGGCCCGCCACAAAGGGTTCTGTTCTGCACCCAGAGATCTCTCTCCAGATATTCAGATATATCCAGATAGCGAGCATTGTGAGTTGTGGCAGCTTTGCCAACAGAGCTGAATGCCCCGCATTGTGCCGAGTGTGATGTGGCGGTCAAAATAAGCGCAACAAAAGCAAGAGTTCTCTACCCTCTCCTTTTCTGCCAAGGATGTGTCTTGAGAAAATCATTTATTTAAAATAAAATTCTAAAAATAAATACTAGAATAGTTTCTTCTTTTTCTGAAATTCCCTGACATCTATTCAACCAAACTAATTATGATCTCCTCTTCTCTTTTCTTTCCAGCTGTCCAACGTGGCCGCGTTCCACCCACCCAGCCAGGATTAGCCGGCATGCATGGGCAGTACCAGATCGCCAACGGGGATCCCATGGGCATTGCCGGCTTCAACGGGCACTCGTACCTCAGTTCCTACATCTCGCTGCTGCTGCGGGCGGAACCGTATCCCACATCCCGATACGGCCAGTGCATGCAGCCCAACAACATCATGGGCATCGACAACATCTGCGAACTGGCCGCCCGTCTCCTCTTCTCGGCGGTCGAGTGGGCCAAGAACATACCCTTCTTCCCGGAGCTACAGGTCACCGACCAGGTGGCCCTGCTCCGACTCGTCTGGTCGGAGCTCTTCGTCCTGAACGCCAGCCAGTGCTCCATGCCCCTGCATGTGGCGCCACTGCTGGCCGCCGCCGGACTTCATGCCTCCCCCATGGCCGCCGATCGTGTGGTGGCCTTCATGGACCACATCCGCATCTTCCAGGAGCAGGTGGAGAAGCTGAAGGCCCTGCATGTCGACTCCGCGGAGTACTCCTGCCTCAAGGCGATCGTGCTCTTCACCACCGGTAAGTTGCTGGACATCCTGTACAAGGATGTGCCGGCGCTGCTCACCAAGGTTTCAGCACAGCTGGGCAAGGGCTCCCTGGCGATGACGAACGATGATGTTCTGGCCGTGGTGCGTGAGCACCTGGACGAACTGAATCGCCTGGAGCTGGAGTCCCAGGCGCCGCCTTCGCAGGCTCCCCACCACCTGGCCGCCTTCATGAAGAGCGTGGCCGGCGTTGAGGCTGCAGTGCAGCAGGCGGAGCAGGCTCAGGCTCCCGCCTCCTCGGTTTCCACCCCTGTTTCCGCCTCTGCTCCCCTGCTACCCTCCGCCGGCAGTGCCTTTAGCAGCTGCCAGGGCAAGACCGCTGGGTCCGAGATGGATCTGCTGGCCAGTTTGTATGCCCAGGCACAGGCCACGCCCCCCAGCAGCGACGTGTCGGGACACAACAACAGCAGCGGGCTGGGCGCCTCGCTTCCTACTCAATCGCAAAGCGGTTCGTCCTCCCGCAACCTAACCGCCTCGCCGCTGAGTACTTCGCTGGCAACCGCTCCTGCTGCCGCTTCCGTTCCTGCTCCCGTTCCCGTTTCCGTATCCGTATCCACCTCCTCAGCGAGCCACCTCCCAGTGACCTCCACCTCCTCCGCTTCCGCCTCCACCTCCTCCTCCTCGCTGGTGGGTGGTGGAGCCTATCAGACGCCCTCGGCGGCGGCGGCGGCGGCAGCCATTTTCCACTATCAAACGCCACCGCGCGCCGCTTTCGGCTCGGCCTTCGATATGTTCCACCACAGCACGCCCTTCGGAGTGGGGGTGGGCCACGCCCATGCCCATGCCCACGCCCTCGCCCACTCGGGCGGCAGTCCCAGCTACAGGTATTCGCCCTATAGCCTCGCCGGTAGTAGATGGCAGTTGTAGGATCTTAGGATCTCACAGAATATCGAAACCCCTGTACTGTAAATTTACTTGTATCTATAGAGTTTGGAGAGAAGAACCCTAGAGAACCTCTGTATATGTACTTACTTTAGTGCCTACTGCTTTAGTTTCTACCTATTTATTGCCTTACACTAAGTATAATTTATTCTAGCCGTAATCTCATAGACTAGTTTAGTGAACTTTGCCAAAAAAATTTGATAAAACAAAGAATCGATGAGGAAGGAGAGAAAGAAAGAAATCTTAAGAATATATATAAAGCTGTTGCTGTTAAACAAAAATCTAATCCTGGCTTGTGTTTTTACTCGTTATCGCTTACTAATGCTTTACACCGCTCGTTGACTAATTTTAGTTTATTATTTATTTGTTTATTTTGGTTACTAACTAATCCATACTAACCTGAACTAACCCGGTCTCTTGGCCATGAACTTTCCAAGTGAGATCCTACTAGCGTTTGTACAAAAATCCAATTAAAGCCATTTTGATTAATTTGGATCTGTCGTTGATCAAAAGAAATAAGTATACAACATTTTAAAATACTTAAACTTGATTTAGAGTAGTATTCTATTGAAAAATGTCTATCATATCGTAATACAATGATAAATTTGTTTTAATTTCTTTAAGGAATTTGAAACAATTTGATCATTGTTAGTTAAAACAGAAAATTAATGTTTGTAAACTATGATAAAATAGTTTTCATTTCTTTACTTTTAAATGAAATGAAATCCACTTTATCATCTTATTGTTAAATAAAACTATAAAACAAATTAAAAAATTTTACGTTTAAAAAAAAACAATTACCTTCAAACTTTTTAATACATAAAATTAATTAAGCGAATAAAAATACATATTAATCCATGGCCTTAGTTTCTTAAAATGATGAACCAGTTCTGATTAGGAAATAAAGGCACATTTTTAACCCAAGGTAATGGAAACTCTTTATTTTTTCAGCACATTGGAAAACTTTTAATTTTGTTGAATTTTTTCCTTCATAATTTCAGCAAATTTAACAGTTTTCCGTTTCATGAAACACCTATTTATTTAACACTAATCTTTCCACATTTTTATTTCATTTTTTTAACAAAAGCTATTCACACAAAAACAAACAAAATTTAATCTCATCCGCACGTGGCAACAAAACGCTGGACTTTGGGATTACTCACACACACTGAAACACATGCACATACACACGCACTCAAATAAATCACACCACAGCTTATATGCGAATAATTTAAATATTTTTAAAGCCTTATACCTTATACATGCCTATTTTTAGACAATTAGGTTCCACGCGAAATAAATCACTGAAGTTTTTGTATGCAAATAGAGTGAACCGAGGTTTTCTTTGACTTTAGCCTAAGCTAAGTTTGCAATTAAGTGTAAGTTAGCTATGTTAAGTTCGGTTAGTGGTATGGGAAAAGCTGAAATTTTGATTTAGTACTCCCCCCTTTTCTCGTGTCGTGTCAACCAGCTGTCCAAATCCACGTCGCAATTGTTTTTCCACTGATCTGAACTGAGCCCGGCCCAGAGATATCGCAAAACCCCACTCCCGCTCTTTGTGGCGACGTTTATTGACGTCGAGATACCACATTATGAACATTAATACAACACTCGTTTATGTCGCTTACTTACAAGCCCGTCTCCAACTCCAGTCCAGTCCGCCAATGGACCAATGGACCAAGTCCAGGCCTTGGCCAAACTTGCAATGAAAATAATTTTACCATTTCCAAAACGCCGTGTGTGTCGCTTGTCCAAGCTACACTGAGAAATTAGCACTTCTTTTCTTCTAAATTATTTGAAATATTTTAAGAACTAAAGCTTTTTTGACAATTTTTTATAAAACATTTTACTGTCGGAAAAGAAAGTTCTAAGCTTACCCCTTTTCCTTGATTAATATGTTTAAGGTTCCTATAAAAATATTTTTCAAATAATATTATTTGGGTTTCTTTATGTAATGCTTGAGGATCTCTTCTAAAAATGTATGTGATAATAAGTTTTTCTGCTTTCGGTTTGCTTCTGGCTTAATAAGTCCTGTCTCTAACATTTTGGAACCATCAAATTTGCTTAATTTTTCTCCGTGTATGCCAATATCAGCTTAGCCCGACTCTTGAGGGGGCGTGTGTGGCGCGGAGTTCGTGGTCTCGCTGGCTGAGACCCTGGACCGACTGGCAAGCTGCAATTGCATTTGAATTGGCTGCATGAGTCCATAAACTGCAGCCGATCAATCGCTGCGCGGATCCCCGATGCCCCATCCCCGATCCGCAATCCCCGAACCGCGATGCACAATCCACAAATACCCATGGTCTTCAGCTGGAAGATTGTGGGAGACGAGACACGATCGCGGTAGTAAAATACCGGGTATAGACTTACTAGATCTTCTGCAGCGCATTGACGACATGTCTGCTCCTCTGGCTGCCATTGCCCATTGCCCATGTTACTTGGCATCGGCTGAAACTGAGGCTGAGAGCACCTCACCCTGCCGCAGTGCATCTTCGCCCCCGTCGGATTGCTGTCGTTTGTTGCAGTTGTTAGGAGTTGTAGCTTTCATGTCTTGGCCACACTTTTTGACCAACATTCTGTGTGTGTTTTTCGCTTGGCCCGAAGATCGAAGCTCGTAGCTCGTAGCTTGCAGCTCGAAACGGAGTCTCGAAGCCACCGATGCTGCTTAAATCGTTTTGTGGCGCTCATTGATCGCCTGCGCTACTTTTTCCCTGAAAATTGCCAACGACGTGCCTCGAGGCCTGGGAACTCAGGGACTCTGCAACTCTGGCAATTAACAGTAACTTTTGGGCCGGGGCAGACGTCGTTGATTAGAATCATTAAGGGCTCGTTTCGATATTAGGTTTTGCCATAGGTTTGTCTGCCAGTCTTTTAAAATGAGACAAAGAGAGAGCGTCTATGTTTGCTTAAGATTTTCGATGCAGTCGATAGAGCGGAACTCCTTCTTAAGCCTGAAAACTCCACAGTTGACCCCACACGACCCGATCCGAGATCCTTATTAAAACTAAATAAAGTTATAACTGTTTCTGGCGGTCGCTGGCACGAACTGCTCGGCCAGAACTGGAGCCATAAAGAACACAAATCTAATAAAATATAATGCAGCTATTCATAATTTTGTTAAACAGTTTAGACCCCCTTTTCCCTTTACCCAACTCCTTGTACTCCTTTTTCGATATGTCTGCGCCGGTTGGGGCAAGCAACTACTTTACGGTCATTATGCATTTAAAACACGCGGTCACGATCTCTCTCCCTCGCTGAGTTAGTAACTGCGACGACCCAAAACCGAAAACTGAAAACTGAAAACCCAAAACCGAAAACCAAATACGAATCGAAGCCAAGCCAAGCTCGTCGTAGCGTACTGCATAACTACAAGCCGAAAACAGTTAGCAAAGAGCCAAAAAATCAAAGCCCAGTGACGACGAGAAAGCTCCAAACTCTGGGTAGTGCATTTCTCCAGTGCTTCTCCAAACGACCTGGAAGTGGAATGTCTTTCACTTTGAGCATGCAACTCCTCCGCCGGCCAAGAGATCTCAGTATCCCACATTTCAATGAAACCAAAATGCTTCGCCTGGCCTGGCACAATTTCCAACTCCTCCTCCGTCTGCGCTTATGATTTCCCATTCGAGTGCCCGGGATCGGGATCCTCTGAGCTAATGGAAAGTCAATTGACAATTATGGCCATGGCCAATGAAGTGATTCGTCGAGCCTGCCGGACTGACCATGTCTAATTTGTATCGGCGGAGCTTCACGATTATTACCATTACCTCTTGTCTTCGTCGTTCATGGCTCGTTGTTTGGCTGTTGTTTATGAAACCGAATGGTTAATAATGGCTAATTGAATTTCTGTTGCCGCTGGCGACAAATCATTTAGCCTGATTTACGCGCTTTGTGGGGGGCAAGGCCCAGGAAATTTATATGATAACCGAACGGCCCAACGTTTTTCCACTTCAACAGTTTATCTGTTAGCCTCAAAAGCCAATCATCAAACAGATCTTGGCTGAGAGCAACAAGCCATGGTTTTGGCTTTCAACTGACACTCGTCTTTTATGGCCAGCTCAGATTCGAAGTTGCGTGCCGGGAGATTTGAGAGATTCAGAGAGCCATTAACGACATGCAGTTGGGAACTGCTGGCCAGGCAATCCGTTATATGAGCCCAAAATCATGATGATATCGGTGGCCAAATGGCAAATGGCCCAATCATTAGCTGCAAAATGATATATCAGCCGCAGTTCGCAGCTATTTTTTCTGCTCTTTAGCTTCGCCTTGCGTAATAGAGTCCTCGTGTGTGCAGTGACTAATTAAGCAAACAAAATTTCATATGCAATTTCGAAACGCCATTCTTAACAGCAACAACCATTTAAAATGCTTTAAAGCTATGCAAATTTACAAGTGCTGATGTCTAATTTGAATTTCAAACAGTCAGACACACAAAAACTAAATATATATATGAGTATTAAAAAAAAAGAAGAGCCGCTCGCTGCCTCACAGTTGTGTTTTGTTGATGTTTTAACAGCGGCAATTGATAAGCAAACTTTTGGTGCCTGGCAATTAACACTCGACGGCACACGCTGCGTATGCGCAATCCGGCATCGCTGTAATTGTAATTAAATGCCATGGCTAGCTGGCGGTTTTGGTGGAAAACTCATTGGCTTCGGATCGTATGGTTTTCGCGGGGACAGGGCGTTGTCTCTCCGCCGCGGCTTAATTTTCCCCAATTTAATTAACCCAAGTGTTGTACTCGCTGTCGTTCGCTTGTTCGGTTCTCAGTAGAGCGACTTCAATTGAACATAAATCAAATAGACATGACGTAATCTTGCAGTTTCGTCATCGATCCGCTGTGTCGTCTTTGCTGTTGTTGTTGTCTTGTGTTCAGTGTGCTTTAAACTCAACACAAAACCCAATTGAACTGAGCCGTTGTGGGCGTGGCAGCGGCTCATGTTCGGTTATTGGTTTGACGTGACAGGCACTCGAGAGTTGGAAATTTTCTGCCGGCGCCAGGAGAACTGCCCCCAAGAGTATCGACCATGTACTGCATTTGCATCCATAACTGTGAATCCGCAGGGAACTGATTTTTGTTGCCTTCTTTGTCCATCTTTCAGATGCCTGCGGCCTGTCCGATGTGACGCACATTGAATCCCTGCAAGAAAAGTCGCAGTGCGCTTTAGAGGAATACTGCCGGACCCAGTATCCCAACCAGCCCACGAGATTCGGCAAGCTGCTGCTCAGACTACCATCGCTGCGAACTGTCTCCTCACAAGTAAGTTTATCGTAAATAACGTTAAATATAAGGTCATCAAAATTCAGGATTCAAAACCGATTGTAAAGAAAAAGAATATAGCTTGAAGAGCTCGCATTTAAAATGCTAATTTACAATCTAAATAACCAAGTGAGGACAAAAAAATTCAAAATAACTAATTGCATTAAAATATATAATTTTATTCTTTAAATTTAATTTAAGTATTTTAGTTGTTTAAGATTACATGTCTATCTGGAAGTCTCAATAAGTCAAACAAGTTTTTTCAAAGTCTCCAAAACTTGATACTGATAGTTCTACTGTATTTATTAAATAAATTTTATTTTAAATTTCTTGCGCAAATAAGCATCATGAACTTACAATTTTTAAGCAGTCCATAAATCTAACACCTATTTTAAATTAAAGCAGATAATCCTTCTAATAATATCAGGAAGTTAAATATTTTTTTTAGTAAAATTATTTTATTGAAACTTCTTTAAAACATCCCCTAATTTAAATATTTTTCCCTTTTCTTCCTTTTCATTTTCTCCGTCTAGGTCATTGAGCAATTGTTTTTTGTGCGTCTAGTCGGAAAAACGCCAATTGAAACGCTGATACGCGACATGCTGCTGAGCGGCAACAGTTTCTCCTGGCCCTATCTGCCTTCGATGTGACACACGATGTGGCGCCAATTGACAACAACTTGATCATCGGCCGCAGCTGTGGCGGCTGCAACGCTCAACATCAATCCCGGCGGAGGAGGCGGTGGTGTCGGTGGCAGTGGCGGTGGCGTCGGTGTCCCCGGCTGTGGCAGCCACAACGTGGTTGCTGCCAGTCATGACCAGCTCGCCAATGTTGCTGTCATGCAGCCAACATACGGCGGTGGCAGCGCCATCAGCGGCAGCGGTAGCATCGGCGGTTGCCACAACGGTAACAACAACGGCAGCGGCGGCGGCAACATTTGCAATCAGCAGATCAACAACTACAGCAATAACAACGGCGGCAGCAGCAGCAGCAACAGCAATCATATGAGTGCAGCCAGTTTCTTCGGCGGCAACAGCAGCAGCAGCAACCATACCAGCAATAGCAACAGCAACAGCAATACCGATTATATGGCCACGCCGACTACCGCTTATGCGACACCAGCGACAGCAGCAACATCCACAGTGAACACCACGACGATGCTGTCTAATTACTGCGATGCCGCGACCATGATGATGGCCGCTGCTGCAGTCAATGCAAATCAATGCCTGCAGCAACATCACCAGCGCATGTTGCTGGCGGGCAGCAGCAACAGCAATAGCAACAGCAATGGCACAGCAGCAATACCCTCCTCGTCCTCGGCTGGCTCACTGTCGTCTGCCTCATCGACGCCAACAGCAACAGCAACTGCAACAGCCCCGCAGCAACATCAACAGCAGCAGCAGCAACAGCAACAATCGCCGCCAAATTTAATCGATATCAGCGAAGTTCCTCTCATTGTGGATGTCAAGTAGTGTAATTATTTATGCATCTAGAAATGGGGCTATAAAACAACCTTGTAGATACCCCGCACCCGCCCCAAAAAAACACCGAAAAACCCAAAAAAAAAATGTTCATTGAAAAAATGTAAAAAAAAAGAGGGAGGAGCCGCGTAGCTTAATTGAATAATTTTCCATTTGTAGCTTTTGTTGTAACTTTGTACATAATTCTCAGAAAAATTCAAATTTTTCTCTAGGCCGCCCCAGCTGTGTGCAACGAATCTCAGCTGACATATCCCAGAGAACTTCAAAAGTTAAACCCAAAAATAAATAGGACGTCCCATAACGTCTTTATATATGAATGTGTATAATAATTAAATGGCACTGAGTTCTACTTAATTTTTAAACCACAAAAATGTACGAAAATTTAGGAAAGAAAGAAAACAGCGTGGAAAGAGAAATCTCCTTAACCCTTTCAAAAGACAAAACATAAAGATAGTTAAAATATTTATATATGTAATGTAGCATATACACGTATATATACATATATGAATATATATAAATGAAACTCTACTCCCAGTGGTTTGCAGAAATATACCAAAAATTTTAAGCTATGTTTACTTGATGTGTGGCAATTTTTTATGTGTGCTTTAGCAATTTTATTTTTACTTTAAGTAAAATTTAAAATTAAATTCGATTCCCGACTGGTTTTTCTCCCTGGGGTGCATCTCAAAGATGTCCCGCGGTGGGAAGTCCGATTCGTTGGAATTTGAATCCAAAATTTAGCGAATTTTTTATTTAGTAATCATTACGAGTAAAAACACAAATGTTCAGTGCAAGTTTCAGTTCTTAAACGATTTTTTCGTAAGCCTAAGCATTATCTTATTTATGTGTATAGAGTATGAAAAGTTTTCTATATTTTGTAATAATAAAAATTTGCGTTTATAATGAACCCCCTATTGTGTTTGATTTTTCAGTTCGGTATTTTTTTCTATAGGTAAGAAGCAACTGCAGCCAAACTGTAAATAAGAAAAATGCTCAAAAAGATTTCCCCTTTTGTTGGGAAAAATATGCGTGTTAAATAATCATTACCAGTAAACAAAGAATAAATCGAAATAAATCGTATGTAAATACAAATTAAGTCTAAATAAATATAACAACAATTCGATTGCTTATTGAATCCATCACGTAAACGCGTGTAAATACAGTTTTAAGAGTGATTTCAATGTTTTTAATAAAGTAATCTGATAACAAATAATGAATGCAGTTGTAATTAAAAAGCAAGTGTCGGCAAGAGTGTGAGTAATCGGGAGTGTTTCAATATGTTTCCTTATCACTGATTGTAGACCCATCACGGTAGACAGACATCAATATCAGCAGCACACGAAATGATTAAGGCGTTCAATGAAATGCATTTAAGTAGCCTACGAATGTTTGATTTCACTTTTTTGATGATTTCAATATTTAAATGGTGTGAAGGTATTTTAAACAACAACTCATTTATTATACAAAAAAAAAATAACAAAATTTCTTAAATTAAAAAGAAATTGCAAAAAATTAATTTAAAATAATATTAATTCAAATTCTGGGCTTAATTCCATAGATTTTCCTACTTTTAAAATATCTGCCTGTAATTACGAAGCAACTTTTTAATAAGGGCTCTCAGCAACAATATATGCTGCAATTTCCCATTGAAATTCCGATCCGAAAGCATTTACACACCCCGAAAAGTGATCTTTAACCCAAAAGCACTCATCTGATGACCGCTGAACTAGCAAAACTTTCATAACTTTCCGGGACAACTTCCTCAAAGCGAGCATATGTATATCTGGGCATTAAGCGGTACGTGATGCAACCAAATACCATGTGTTGCCCGGAATAAATGCCCAAGTCATGCCGAAGCACCCACCTCGGTGCAGAAAACCGCATTCGCGGAGGGGGCAATTACCCGAACTGCTCTGAAATTGCCAATAATGAGACATGCAACTTGTGCGCTTAGCCTCTGTAATGGATTGCCGTGGATTGGTATCAATTGCGGGTCAATTCCTCCGCAGCTTTGAGCTCGGAACTCGGGGCAGGGGAATTTCACGCGCCGACAAGATAATCGCCGGGATTCCCTAGTTTGCCCAGGGCTAACTCAAAGCCCCCATCTCAAGGATCGTGCATTGCAGACAGCGTGTAGCCAACTCGAGTTAAGCCAAGTCAAGTTAAGGCCAGACCAAAGCAAGGGACCCAGGCAATGGCCAAATTGCCGCTGCCAAATGACAAATTAGATATCGAAAATAACAATTTGATCGACAGCCGATCGCCACTGCTCCACTGCCGGAGCTCCAAAGTTGCGAGAGGGAAAAATTACCAAACCCAAATTGGCCCAAGATCCGAAATAAGGAAGGCACTTTGCGGTTGGAGCGTAGCCAAAGGAGTTGATGGAGGTGTTGATTTGATTACTTTTATGTAAGCCCCGTCTTGGTCCAAGTTGAAGTCTCAGTTCCAGTCGAAGTCGAAAACCGAAGTCATCGCAATTGCCATCGAATATATTTCACTCACCCCCCTCCCACGAATCGTGATCGGGGCAATTTCAGATGGATGGATTCGGATTTGGGCATCGGCATCAATTGAAGCCGCCGTGCCGCACTAGGCTTCACTGTACGATCCTCACTCGACCGGCTACCCAACGGCCGGCATCTAAATGTGAAAAATGATTTGACTTTAATGGCCGCCACTGAGTGATCAACAGACTGCGATCCGATCATCATCATCTGATCATCCCCAACCTTGGAGGAGGTGTTAAGATTTTGTGACCAATTGGCCAAGAAGGTAACGGTCGCCTCTACCACTAGTATTTCCTCCTCTTCATCCTCATCCCCATCCACCATACGGCACTTATTTGCTCTTGAGTGGTGCTGATCGCGGCTGAGTACTTGGCTCTAGGCACATGATTGATCCACTGCAGTTGCATTTGCATTCGGATTCGCACTCGGCTTGTTTTTGTTTTTGGTCATGTCTTGCGGTGGTGGAACGTGGGAATTTGGCTTGAAGAATCGCAATTTTTCGCGCGAGGAGGTGTGTCCGTGAACTATATTTCGTACCACAAATTGTTGTCTTTAGGATGCCGTAAATGAGCTATGCAAAATTATGCGGAAAATTGTGGAAAATAGCTATTAAATTATTTAGACAAGCTGTTGCAAAACTGAGATTATTTTAATATGTCTTAACGGCGTTTAAATTGACTTGCGCAAGCTTTTAATTTTAGCTGAAATGTTGCATGGGCAAATCAAATTTAGTCTTGGCAAAAATCAAAATAAACGTTTTTCCATAATATCGTTTTTATGTTTTTTAGTCTTAGGTATTAAATTTATTTTTATGGCTTAAAGGTCAATAGTCACTGGATATTCGAGGTTTTATACTGCACTGAACTTAAAAAGTCAGTATAATAGAATGTTAAAAAATTGTACAAATTATAATTTTTTGTAAAAATATATTTTTAATTATTACATAGTAATTTCATAAAGTGTCAGACAAAATAACCGGGAAGGTCCTTGGAACCAGTCCTTTTTTCCGTTGACCAGTTACATTCAGTTTTTCTCCATGCGAAAAGCCTCCAGTGAAAAGAAAGAATAATTATATAAGCCTGCAGCCCGGAGAATGCTTATATGCATGGACTGGTCCATAGTCCATGCTCCCCGATTCGCTGGACATACAAAGCCGTCACAAAGACCCTAAGATATTAGCGGGCATTTTTCAATCCTTTGACGATGGTCAAAATAAAATATTATTTCGCGCGTTAATACGCAAAAATAAGCGGCCAGTTGGGTGGCACAAAATGCCAAGGCTCGGCAAGGCGGGTGGCAGAGACCCCTCCCCGCAACTCTGAATCTCTGCATTCGAATCTGCGAAGATTGCAGAAAAACCGGACTTGACTTTGGGCCAGGAAGGTGTTGTTGGCTAAGAAATTATGATGGGAGACTGCGCCGAGTCTGGTCAATTGCAATGCGAATTTGTGACTCGTTACGAGTCGCGTGGCGGTCTTTGGGGTCAGGAAAGCGGGTTAGCAGGGGGAGGCTTCAGGCTCCATGGGTGGTCCTTGGTCGCCCCTCAAGATGCAAAATACTTTTGACAATTTGTACTTGTTGGCCCGGCTGCCGTGCGTTATAAATTATCAAATAGAAATAGCTTTCGATTCTCCCTCTACCTCTGCCCATTTTTTTAGCCATTTCGTGAGTGTCTGACAGTGAAGCTAAATTATTTGGCATGCGGTGTGAAATATGTGTAATTGGAAAACAAATTCCAATTGCCTAATTTATGACTTGTGCGAAATGGCCAGAAATTTATTATGTCCCTCAAGGAGCCGGGGGTCAAACAATGTCCCGAATGGTTGGGGTTACGATTCATTTGTTACCTTTACTAATTAAATTATGACAAAAGGGAGACTGCGAGAGGGTTGTTGCCTGTCCTATGTCCTCGGCCACATGTCCAAAAATGCTGTATTCAACGTATTCAATTTCATTTTATGTAAATGCTCGTAAATGTGACAAAAAGGCTGGGATCTGTGGCACACACACATTTCGTTGACAGATAGGCTGAAAGTTCCATTTCAAAACACGCAGCCAAATTGAAAGGTTCGTTGGGGACTGGACGTTGCTAATGAAATTGGACACCAACATCGCCGGGCCACAGGAGATACGACAGATACGCCAGAGATACGGCGGAGATACAGATACACCAACCCAAAATTATGCAAATCACGGACAAAGAGACACGGAGACTGCATATGCAAAATGTTTAACCCTTAATTGGCCCATAAGGCGGACCGACTGTCTCTCACTTACACATAGCTGACATCGATAGCCATCGCAGTTCTCAGTTCGCCAGACAGAATTACCCCAAAAAACCAACGCTCTGTGGTCTCACTGATCTGGATCTGAATCTGGATCTGAGTCCAAATCCGAATCTGGATTCGACTCGCCCCCAACCCCTTTTTCCGTTGGCTCTGTGTTTTGGCGTTGGCGTGAATTATCTGCGCAAACAGCCAGTGACAGGCGTTGAATTGCCTTTGCCTCGCCACAGTTGCCGTTGCCTCTATCCGTGTGGTGTGTCCAGTGGCACTTTGTCGCATAATATGTTAATCAGCCACATGTCAGCCTTGCGGGTGGGTTTTTGGCCAACGATGTGGGTGGCATTTCTGGTTGGGTTGTGAATGTGTCGAACCCCAACTCGGGCTTAATTAGAAGTTCAGCGGGGAGAGGGAATCAGAACCCTCTGGACTAAATCGCTGCTCTTTTTTCTTTGCTAAATAAAATGTTAATAAATATATGACTTAATTTTCTTACAGACTATGATGAAAAACGCAACAAAAATCCCAGTTTTTGCAAAAAATCCTCATTTACAAAATATTTTGTTTAAAGCAAAGCAAGCAATTGTCCAAATATGACATTCTTTATTTCCAAAGAAAACTTTTCTATACAGAATTACGAAAAAATTAAAAAGTCCTCAGAAAATATCTTGTTAAATTTTTAAAAATAATTTAGAATACCCTTCGAGGCGAAGCACTCACCTTCAATACAAATTTATCAAGGGAACAATTTCGCAGCCGATTCGCGAACAGTAAAGCCATATTTATGATCAATCTGTCGCACCCATATACAGTTATTCTTGACCCGTTCTTGCCTGCTCCATTTAACACACACACACTCGCACTGTTTTGGCAATAAATTGGCATTTAAATTAATTCACCTTGAATTATGTTCTTTGTGCGATAAAAGGGAAACACTCGGCCGGACCCAGCAGCCCCCCACAGCGTAATTTTCAATCAAAATCGCACATCCGCGAAATTATCATGAACTCAGCAGAGCAGTCTGGACCCATCCTATAGCATTGACCATTCGAATACCCATACTCTGAATATCGCCGGATCGGGTGAGGAGATTATCAAATTGATTCCAATTAACACTTGCCACCGCTGCAGGGACTTGGAGGCAAATGGACATTGGCCAACGGCCGCCGGCGAATGCATTCATTTCTTCTCTTCTCGACCGTGTTGTGTGTATGCAAACGTTATAAATATTTCACTCTTTGTGCACGGTTTACGGTTAGCAGCCACAACAACACCCTGAGATACGAAACGGTCCAAAGGGACCCCAACTTTATGGCCAATCCGAGGGACTCGGACAGACTCCTTTCTCCTCCGCCGACAGCGAAACACGCACATAACTTAAGCGCACTTTGTCGTAATTCGTAATTCGAATTGACAAACGTTTCTTGGCCCCGGTCTCGGCCTTTTCTCTGCGGCCTTATACCTGGTGGCCAACTTTTGGACCAACTGAAATGATAAATATTCCATAATTTCGCCTGGCATTCAATTTCGATTTGTGTGACACATAAATTACGAATTAACGCTTTAAGCCCAAACAAGAGATGATCAAGCTTCGGGGGGATAGCTGAAGGGACTGGGAGTTACTTTTGATCAATTTGCTGCTTGGGCTTGGCACACTTCCTAGAGCTTAGGAAATCGGAAAATCTCAGACCAGAGGGAAATTTAGTTAAGTTAATAAATTACAAAAGAAGATAAAAAAAAAAAATTTTAAAAAAAAAAAAAAAAAAAAAAAAAAAAAAAAAAAAAAAAAAAAAAAAAAAAAAAAAAAAAAAAAAAAAAAAAAAAAAAAAAAAAAAAAAAAAAAAAATAGAAAAATAAATTTACAATTTGATCGGGGAAATCTACATTATTTAGCTTAAGCTCTCAGTGCTAATACCGTAAATGATTTTTAATCCAAGTAACCCATAATATTATATAAGTTATGGTTGGTAAGGTCTGACATCTTAAGCACCATCACAACAATCTTAATTGGCTACTACACCTGTAAATCAATCCACTAGAGCTTTCTCATATCATCATGACCAACTGCTCCCCAGTTTTTCAAAGAACTACACGCAGAAGTCTCTCTCACGTTCTAAGATGCCAGCTGACAAGCGCGGCAGCTTAATTAAGTTGAAAATTTATGAAGTTCTTTATCAAGCGAAATTCATTAGCCAGAATCTAAGACACTAAACAAAGTATTGCTGAAGAGAGAAAAAAAACAAAATAATTTCCTAGGAAAAGGATTTCCTCCGCCAAAAAAAGGAGAGACGAAAGCTCAGACTTAGACAGAAAGTTCAAAAGGAGGAAGAGACCTGCAATGAGGCATAAGCAAAGCCAAAAGATGCTCTGCGCACAAAAGATGATTAATAATCTCCGAGACAGACTCCGACTTTCAAGCTCTCCCCACCAAGCGCGGAAAAATCCTGGTCAGGAGTGGGAAAAGACAAATGTCTTGGCTGCGTGGTCTCTTTCACAGTTAATTTAAGTTTCCAGGCGAAACGGATGCAGGACCTGGCGGGAAAAAGAATTTTGCTGATTTTGTCAACTGTTTGTCGCTGATAAAATTATTAGCTCTCCTTTTGTTTCAGCCCCCGCGACAAAACCGGAAAATGGGGTAGGAGAAACAGTTCTTTTTTCGCTTAGCTCGCGCCGAAAAATTTTTGTATTAAAATGCAAATTTTTTGTTAATTTTGTTGTTTTTGTTTTAATCAGCGGGAAGCCACAGAGCCATTTCCCACCTCCACTGCGGTCGCACTTGGATGGTGATGAATGTTGAACCCCGGCGTATGTCAGGAACCGGGAACCAGGAATCTTTGGTCGATCCCGTGACTTTGCACCCCAAAGCACAAATTGTTTTTTCTAAATGCTTTTCTAATTTTTCTTTTTCCTTCTTTTTAATTTCCCTTCACTAATAGAGCTTGTAATGAGAATACTTTCTTCTGGCGAACAAAAAAAATATACAAATCATTAGCAAATACCAAGAAATATCAAAATGCCTGGCATCCATAAATAAATAAAATAAATATTAAAGTTTATTTGCTGCACAGTTTGTTTCTAGTTCAGGCCATTAGTTAAACTCTTAGTTAAGTGCTTGTGAGCCAAATTTTGATGTGCTGCTGTGTTTTTTGCCGCTCTGCTATCTGGAAGTCATCTAAAGACACCGCGTTCAGTTCACAGACGCGAGCGAGAGACATAAACAATTAAACTCATTTGACGATTAATTACGCGCCGCTTCCAAATCGCGTGTGCTGCCACCACAGCCTGCAGCCCGCGGCAAAATTGTTCTATCAAAACAGAGCAAGCCGAAGAGACAGAGCGAAGCTGGCCCAGCGACAAGAACAGCACCCACAGCCAAAGTACAAATTCATTTGCTGCTAAAGACACAAGAGGAACTTGCATGTCGTGTCATAATCTTGATGAATGCATAATTGCATGCCATGCTCCCAAGCACGCCTCGTACTAGCTTCCCATCCACCGATCAGTACTGCCGCATTGTGTTCCTATCGAAATGGGTTTAAGTGTCAACCAGCATAAGAACAAACCCGAAAATAAACCCCAATTTTCCAAACATTTTCATGTTTTTCAATAGACAAAAGGGATAGGAATCGAAGGTTTTCCCTTTACAGTCAGGAAAAAGTTATGAAGAGTTATTTCTAAAGATATTTATAAATATAACTATATTTGTACATTTTGCTTCTAGGCCATTGTAGAATTATTTCTAAGGATATTCTAAATAAAATGATAAGTTTAGAAAACCAATCAGTACACTTAACTAAAACTTTTATCTTCAAAATTTATAATTCTGTTATACAATATTTTAAACTGTTCCTAGATTTATCCCCTCTTTTTTCTGAGTACCTCTATGCAGCATGCAATACATGAATTATGCGGCAATTAATTAATGAGAAATATCGAAACCGAACCGCACTAACCCCATCCCCAGACAACCACTAGCTGCGACCACCATCATCTTGACTCGGCTCATTCATAGACTTTGTGCATTTGAGGGAGAGAGCCAGATATTGGTGACCTAAATTATTCAATTCATTTTTATTTATTTTTAATTTTTTGATTTGTTGCAATAATTTCCCACCCCACTACCCCAAACGAGTGAGAGAGCAAAGGGGTCTGCTTGTTTGTGTAACTATTTATTCTAATTTGACCCGCTTATTGAGAGGCCCGCCCTTCTGCGGCCCACTCACCCCGTTGGCCGTTAATTGATGCAGCCGCTTAAATGATGAATCACTTTTTCATTAAAATTTGACTTTGAGTGTGACCCCCATGTGGCTGGCGTTGACTTTTATGTGGTTAATAGTTAGCCTTCCTATTGACAGATATTCCGCAATTGTCGCTCTTGGAAATCTAGCCATATGTCTTGGGTCTCATTGTTGTACAGTGAATCTCTTTGTGAATTTCTTTGTCTGCATTTGCAAGTACAATGAAACAGAATCGGTAGCTTCTTCAAACATCAAACTCGTGCTAAACAAGCTGACCCATAAAGCACAACATAAAACCGATAAAAAGAAAAAGTGCACGGTGGAAGAAAGAAATGCCGAGAATCAGAAAGCGCTAGCCGATAGCACACCTGCACCTGAGACCAAAACGTGAATGTGGGCGGCAATGTAAATCGTATTTAAGCTGGGGTGAAGGCCATCAAATGACAGTTGAACTCTTAGTTCTTTTATAACAGCAAGCATAGAGTGTGGTCTTAAAATGAATCTTCCGACTGCAACTCTCCTGTTGATCTTCATGGTGGCTGTTTTCGCCGCAGATCCGCCTTTGAATCAGACGAAGGATGTGAATGACTTCCTGGACTTTGAGGATAACTCGGATGCCGACGAGGTGCCTTCAACAGGATCTAAAGGAATAACCGATGTTCCAATTATCACAGCCACCCCGATCTCAATCAGCGCAGCTGCAACTGCTCTTACCACTAAAAATTCTTCATCCACCACAACTTCTTCAGCCACAAGTGATTCCACAACTGTTTCTTCAACATCTGTAGACACCACAGCATCTCCTCAATCTTCTTCGCCTTCTACAACCACATCTTCACCAACATCAACTGCTTCCACAACAAGTGATTCAACAACAACAGAATCAACAACTACTACTTCTACTACAGATTCTACAACAGCAACTGATTCCACAACAAGTGATTCAACAACAACAGAATCAACAACTTCTACTTCTACTACAGATTCTACAACAGCAACTGATTCCACAACAAGTGATTCAACAACAACAGAATCAACAACTTCTACTTCAACTACAGATTCTACAACAGCAACTGATTCCACAACAAGTGATTCAACAACAACAGAATCAACAACTTCTACTACAGATTCTACAACAGCAACTGATTCCACAACAAGTGATTCAACAACAACAGAATCAACAACTTCTACTTCAACTACAGATTCTACAACGGCCACTGATTCTACAACAAGTGATTCAACCACTTCTACTTCTACCACGGATTCTTCAACTGCAACTGATTCCACAACGAGCGAATCCCCCACAACTGTTCCCACCACAACTGTCTCCACTACAACTCTCCCCACCACAACTGTTCCTAGTACAACCAGTGAACAGCAAACAGAAGAGGAATTTATTTTGGCACTTCTGGCTGAAAATTCAGCATTTCTAACTCAGTCAAATTCTTTGCTTAATGCTATCAGCACAATTAACTTGAATATTATCGATGACCTAGACAGTCAATCTAATTTCCTTGACCTAATTGAAGACACCGAAAGACTTCTTCAAAACAAGACAAAAGAACTTTTATCTTGGGAAGCCGAGCTTCTTCGAGGTGTCGTCACTTCCATTAAGAAGATTGACTTATTTGCCAACCGAACGATTGATACCTTCTCTCAATTGCTTAAATTACAAGAAACAGAACCATGATCGCGTGAAGGACCTAGGGGATAGGCTAAACGTCACAGAAGGACAAATCCTGCGCAGCTCTAAAGGACTGGACAACAAACTAAACTTTGTTGGCCAATTACTTCAGCGATTTGTCGAGCCAAAAGTGAATAGTCTAAAGGAATCCTTTGGAAATCTAAATACATCCCAAATCAATTCTAAAATTGAACTGGATAATGTACCTTTGGTTAGAAATCTAACTGGAAATTCAATTATTAAGCTATCAGCCTTGAATAACCAATTAGCTGTACTTAATCAGACTCAGGAGAAAAGTTTTGACTCACTAAAGGCTGCTGTTAAAGCCTGGGCCCCCACTAACCTCAAAGCGATAAACGATCTATTTCAGACCATAAGCATTTCCCAAAAACGCACAGATTTGGCAGTAGCCATTTGCGGATCCTCCGAGTATAATAATAAAGGACATTCTACTCATTTTGAGAGCTATAACACCCACCTTATAAGCAACGGCTCAGAAGACCCCGACCACAGAAGGATAACTAGAAACCAAGAAAGTGTTGAAGATGAAACATTGGACCCATCAGCAGAGTCATCGTGGAGTGTTGTTGCCTCGGCATAAAAAAGTGAAGATTCATGAAAAGGAAAACAATTTATAAAAACTAAAATGACCCTGAATAAATTTAAGTGCATTTGAAAATAATATCAGTTATATCAGAATTACAACGCATCTATATAATGTTCTAGAAATACTAGTCTTAAGAATGGGAGCAATGTATCAATTTCACCCCCTCTTTTCGACTCAAATAAAAAACAGTTTAAAGTGCAATAGTGGAACACAAATTGTGCATGGCAAATATGCGGACTATTTTGGCCGGCTATCAATTTACAGACAAGGGGACACCGTGAAGCTGCTGAGCGAAACTGATACCATGGATGCCCCGAGATGTCGGGGACCCCAGAACGAATCGCAGACCAAACCGAGAACTACAAATGTCTGGAGAGGATGGCGCGAAACAAAAGTCAAAACAAGCACAACATGAATGAACCTTTTAACATACTTGTAGTTACTAATTCCAGGTGACAGGCGACACAATGAGTCGAAGTGGATTTTTCATTTGTGGCCATTGTTGGGCCCTCACGGGTATCGGGATTCGGTATTCGGGGGCTGGGGTTTTTTTTGTTTGACCGAGGAGCAGCCCATAAACAGAGGACACAACAAAGTTGTTACAACAACAGCAGCAGCATCGGCTGCAAAAGTGACCAAAATCAGAGGCTACCAAAGAAGTAACAGATGCTCGATGCGAAGGTGTTGCCATTGGCCTCTGAGGACCCGCAATCGGGAGTCCCGCATATCTTCGGGTTCGAGAGCATCTCTCTGGGCACACGACATATCCTTTTCCCTTTTGGCTTGGCTGTGTCTGTTCTTCTTCTCCTTTTTTTGGCACAAGCCGGGCAATAAATTATCAGATACAAAATCGAGTCCAAGCCAAAGTCAAAACAAAGGCATAAACACTCGGCGAACAGAGATGGCAACAAAGCACGCACTCGACCAATTGACGACACAAAAGACCAAAACAAAAACCAGAATCGGAATCAGAATTGGAATCAGTATTGGAATCGGGCAAAGTAACAGAATCAGAAGCAAAACAAAACAAATCGAGAGGCTGCCCAGAATGCAGAATGAACAGAAGAATGCCCGAAAAGCATGGACATAAACACTGACAACATGCTGCGACACGGAATGGCTCGGAGAAGCCCCATATCCATGGGTATGTGGCGTACACCCAAAGAAAATCTTAGTCACATCTGGTATAGACCTAGAAAATGAGAAACTAATATTAAGGTTTGTGGTAGTTTAAAACATGGTTTTTATACCCGTTATTCGTAGAGTAAAGGGTTGCTAGATTCTGCAAAGTATGTAACAGCTGAAGGAAGCGTTTCCGACCCCATAAAGTATTTATATTCTTCATCGGTCAAAAACATGAGTCGATCTAGCCATGTCCGTTTCCCTTTTCTTTGTCCGCTGTTTGAACGTTGAGATCTCAGAATACAAAATCTACAAGTTGAGATTTCCCCCCCATATTTTTGGCTTCCTACGCAGCGCAAGTTTATAAAAGCACACTTCTTCTAACGCCAAAAATCGCCACTAACGATTTTAAAATGGGTTATGCGCCCACATCTTTAAAGATTTAGTATAAATGCAATTTTTTTTATTTATACCTATCGAAATTTAAGACTTTTAAATCGGACCATTCGTTAAAGTTATACGCAATCAAAAATTATATTTTTATCTCCCTAGCATTCCTTTTAGCTTAGTAATCAATAATAAATGGGTACTCCTTTAGCTGAGTGACGGGTATTAAATAGTGGGACAACAACCCGACTATAGGTTTTCGTGGTTTTATTTTGATTTTCTCTCATTATATTTACAATATAAAATAATCTTAAAAAAGAACTATTTTTAATATTTCTTACATTTTTAACAATTTGTTTTAATATTTTAGATTTTTTACATAATTATAAATATATGACAAATTACAAAGCAATCTCAGCAATGGCTAAACATTTAAAAATTTCTCTAAATTCTCTAATTATTTTTTTCTATTTATTTAGAGAAATATTTTTTTTATGTGTAGAGTTTTCGACTGCCCTTGTTTATCGGAAGCAGCAGCAGCAGACGCACCAAATGACAACTTCGAGGGCAAAGTCAATAAGCGCCTTCCTGCTCCCTGTTATCGCCTGCTGCTCCCTTCCCCTTCCCCTGTCCCCTGCCCCTGGCTACTCCTGCTGACCAGAGGACAAAAGGATCCCGGTGTGTTGCAAATCAAAACATGGAAACAACGACAGCAAACAAAACTCTGAACATGCGTCGAAATGCGAAGAAATATTTTCACTCAGCCAGCTGAAACATGCAAACGGCTAAAGTTGTTCAACTTAGTTTATGGAGCTGCTTGTTTTTAGAGGGGGGAAGGACTTAAGAAGATAGTGAATATTGAAAATTTCCATGGGCAAAAAGAAAATCTTTAAGATGCTTTCGTCTTGGTATTATTAAGAAAACCTCTTAGCGGTTTCTCTAAGCCGATAACCACTCCATGATTTCGCATCGTTACCACTTAATTAAACCCAATTAATCCACAATATAAATTATTAAATTTCATAAAGCAACAAAAGTTAAATAACTTACACACAGACTGACGAGGGATTTCGACACCCAAAACCCAAGTAACCAGAAACAGAAAGAGCCGCAACAAACAACAACCACATCGCGGAGGCAGAAGACCAAGACGATGCAGATGATTATGAAGCAGAAGAGAGTGGCCCAGAGCTGGGGATATAGTATGGTATGGTATATATACCAGGGGGGATTTTGGGGGGCCAGAGGGCCACAGGATTGGTATCAGAATCGGGCCTCGGCAGCTTCATGCTGTGCGCGATTCATGTTTGGTGATTAAAGTAAAGTTCGTAAATTTACAGTTTTCATCAAAGGGGCGACTGTTAGTGGACTGGACTCGGCTTTTCACAGTGCTCTGCTCTGCGAGCAGCCACAGAGTTCGGCCAGAGTTCAGCCCAGGTGACTGTGACGGTGACTCTGTCGATGACTTCGAACCCCAGCACCAACTCCTAATCCAGCGCTACACTTGGAAAAACGTTTTCTGAAATGTCATATAAATTTATGAAATTTATATTTAATTTTAAATTTAAATACCCGTTTAAAATCTTATTAACTCCTGTTTCAAAAATTTAATTATCTAAAAATTATGAGTAATCACTTGGTTTGGATCACTTTAAATAATTTCTAAAAAATACTTAGGAATATAAAAATTGTATTATTTTTATTGAAAACATTTGTATTTTTGGTAAAATTTTTAAAAATAAATAGCAACTATTAGGTATTTATTTTTTCTTACCCACTTAATTATTTTTACTTTGAGTTGCTAAATACCGAAAATAATAAACCGACTTGCTAATAGTTTCTTTTCAGTGCACACACATATTCGGTGAGGCAGACTCCTTTGGCTTTTCCTAAACTGATTTCCAGCAATAAGCATTAGTTGAAAATTGCAATTGTTTTTGTAAAGGCTAGGGAGGGGCACTCCCGGGGGGAGGAGGTGCGGCGGGAGGAGGCCACACCGCGGGGGAGTGCCAGTCCCAGTGCCAAAGTTAAAGCCAAGTGCCTGTGCCAGCGATTGCACGATTCCCTGGCCCACGGAGGGATCCCGAGGAGGTGGTGGCCGAGGCACATCATCAACGTCCCAAGCCACGTCGTCAGTGCAGCAGAAAAGCTGCAAAAAAAATCCAATTGTATTTAACGAATTTTTCGTGGCTCTTTCTGCTGTGGTTGTTGTTGTTTTTGCTGCCTTTTTGGAGTCCGGAACGGAGGGTCCGTGAATCATATGGACACCATTAAATGGAAAGGTACGAGCAATGGCAATCGCCAACACGCGTCAATTGTGCGCGCTGTGTGAGACCGAAGGAAAATGCTGAAAAGCTGAAAGCCGAGAACTCAGAAAATCTGCGCAGCGATATCCACCAAAAGTTCGATCGAATATGTTTGCGTGTCGTGACACGAGACCAAAGGATTATTTTTCATTTAAAAACAGTTGAAGAAAATAATAAGATATTAGATTTTTCAAATATAAGTATTTAAAGTGAAGTTATTTATATAATTTTATATCGTTTTGGTAATTTGTGTTATTACAAAATTTTTTTTTACACTAAAACTTTATCTTAACAGTAAGTTTGTACGAGTTTTAGTTTTATTATTTAAATGTTTTTTTTGATAAGTTAAACAATACAGATAAAGAATTAAATAACTCTTCAAACTAATGTCTACAAATCGCACGCGATCATCACTAACTCTGATTGCAGCCAGAAATACTCTTGGACTGGCGGTATCTGTTAGCTGGAAATGGGATTCTGGGATTGCGCGACGTGAAAATGACCCTGGCTGGATTCTCGATTCTGGATTCTCGATTCTGGATGGGGGATTGTTGCGGTGTCAGGGCTTATCAAAAGCCCGAATTGGCCGCGCCACAACCGCAACCATTAATAAAACCTAATAACAACATAAATGCCAATATCTTTTTAACAAATTTGCCCGACTGCTCACACAGGAGATTTCGATAAGTGAACTAAATAACCAGATTAAAGCAGATCGTAATAAATGTAATTTGAATTTGCCGCACTGGCCATGTCGGTGGATCCATGTATAAGGCAGAGGAGCAGGCATTACTTAATTGCATGGCCGGGGATATCACCAGGCAATCGATCGTCACGGATTACGAGAACCAACGTGTAATAGAGCCGGCTTAAATTATGCGTTCGAGTGGTGTTGGCCTGGCCAAAAGGGCTGCTCACACCGCGGACAGGTGTTGATTGCCAACCAGCCAAGCAGCCTCCTTTGCATTTTGCCGCTGGGCAATGGCCAATGGCCATAACCGAGACATCCCAGATATCCGAGAAGATGATGAGGCTGCCGCCGATGATGGCCAGCTGAACGTGCCGCAAATTATTGCATTTGCAGCGTGCAACGTGAGGTAAGACATTCAGAACTTTCAGGCGGGAAAATAGAGCTACAAGCTCCATTTAAAACTGGCCGCATTTATTACTTCATTTAGT